CCCCTCAAGTACTACCACAACAACATCACGGGCTTAGTAGACCTAGTCAGCCTACTCGCAGACCACGACATCAAGACCTTCATCTTCTCCTCCTCCGCCAACGTCTACGGCACATTGGCTCAGAACCACGGCACCCTGCGCGAGGAGCACTGCGTGCACCAACCAGAAACCTACCACAACGACTCCTCTAGCGAGCCTATAACATCCGAGCAAGGCTGCACGGGAATCACAAACCCCTACGGCCGCACCAAATGGATGGGCGAAGCCATTCTCTCCGATGTAGCTGCCTCTGATCCATCCTGGACTATCATAGGTCTCCGATACTTCAACCCTATTGGATGCGACCCGTCTGGTCTTCTGGGTGAAGATCCCCGCGGGACACCCTCAAACCTCGTCCCCGTAGTCGTGCAAGTCCTGACCGGTCAGCTGCCAGCTCTATCTGTCTACGGCACGGACTGGGCGACTCCCGACGGCACTGCTATCCGCGACTTCATCCACGTGTCGGACGTGGCGCGCGGACATACCGCAGCCCTGGCGGCTGCGCTGGAAGGGAAGGTAAAGACGAACTTTCGCACGTTTAATCTCGGGACTGGGAGAGGGCATTCTGTTGCTGAGGTGGTCGCCGCTATGGAGGGCGTCAGTCATCAGGATATCCCGAAACGGCTGGCCGATAGGAGGCCGGGGGATGTGCAGGAGTGCGTGGCGGTGCCGAAGAGGGCGGCTTGTGAGTTGGGATGGGAGGCGGAGAAGTCGTTGCAGGATGCGTGTCAGGATTTGTGGTGGCATTCGTTGAGGGGTGGGGGGTGGGAGGGGATGTTGGATTGATAGAAAATGGAGGATGGAACGGTGCATTGTGGGTTTGATTGTTTAGTCTGGTTTGGTTTGGTTAGTAAGTTCTTGTTTATTGGTTTGGATATATTGAGCTCCGTACATAATCTACGTAATTTGGTTTGTTTATTTTTGTTGTCTTGGGAAATGTCTGTTATGGTTGAGAAGTATCATCGTTGATGCATGTGGTCAGCACCGGTATGAGCTTTAGCAAAGTTATAGCATTTCGTAGTAACATTCTCTTTTCTATGTCTCTAATGAGCTCCAGGTCATCCAAATGTGATCTTGTGTATTCATTGTCCTACTACTTACCTAGTACCTCGTTCTTCGGTGTCCATCCCCACCCGTTCATCACAACATACATATATATATAACTACGGCCCCATACAGCTCAGCCCCAATCCATTTCTATCTACCTTCCCCACCATCCCCTCACTTAAAACCTCTACCTCATCCAGTCGTAATCACAATCAACCATCCTATAAGCTCATCGCCAAGCACGCCCAGTCCGGTCCACAATCCGGGAACCCGCCGAGTGGCTGCCATCAAGGTTTCACAAGAAAGGACCGAGCCGAAGCCACCCCGAATGCAGGCCACACACACAAAGAACTCTAACCTTGTGCTGCAGTCAGAATTGAAAGAAAGATACGGGACCTGCAGCGGTTGATGCAGTTAGATTAGATGGACGGGTCACATCACCTGCAGGGCCGCGTATGCCTCAGAGGGGCTTATCTTGGGCAGGTGGCAGGTGGCCGCGTGGCAGGGATGTTTGATCTTTATTTGTTGCATGTGATGGAGTAGCTTGTTTTAACATGAAATCGGTACATGTAATCGGGTTGTTGCCGTTCCAGATTCTGTGGTAAGGTGGAAGGCGTGCGTACTATAAAACCGACACGCTTGCTATCATATCGACGTCTTTCAAGGGTCGACACACGGAGTTTCCCACCTTTGCGAGTCGTATTTTCCGGGAAGCATGACTCCCAAACATCTTTGAGTGTTGCCTCTTCAAAACAATACCCTCGAGTAGCCCAAACTCATTGGTGCCATCGGCATATATCTGAGGACAAAGGATGGCTACACAGTCGTCACTAACAACCACAAACCGGAGCAATTTTTCGCATACGACTTTGGCAATATTTTAGTGTGCGGTGTATCTATGCTGGCCATGCATTCCACTTCAAGAAGGCATGCCTCTTTGCGCAGTATAAATGAGAGGAGATATGCACTGCATCTCAATCGAGTGGCATCCATCTTACATAGTTCAAAGTCTGATATCGTCAGACCCCGCCAGCACAGACCACTACCCATGACGAGAAACATCTATGTGATCAAAAGAAGGCTGTCCATGTGTTTCCGAGCGAACATTCAGATGGTGCTGAAAGCAGTATGTCGTGCGAAGGAGTGGCCGGCATCTTGTCAGACACTGTATCTATTCTCAAACAAATAAAAATGGAGTTGTCTTGGCACACACCCAGCTACTCAGATACCATCACATGAAATGGTCGATATGTTCTACAAATTATCCTCATATTCTTCGTACAGACAAGCAATACTAATGCCGATCATCCGCGAGATTCCGAGTGGTTCGTTCTGCCGCTTAGTCAGGACGTGCAGCCACGATCCCAACGCATTAGAATTGGAGATAACTGGCGATAATTTAATTCCATCCGATCTGCTGCCTGTCACCTATAGCAGCACCTCATCATGAGGCGCCGGACCCGTCGCAGTCTCTTCCATCTGGCCATCTTCGCCGGAATCCTCGGTCTCATCCTCTTCCTGAACCGGCCATCCCCTCCCGGTCGGCCCTTCGCCTGGACCACCATCACCTATGAGACGACCGCAAAGCAACTCCCAGAAGCCCGGGGCCAATGTCCCGGTCTAGCCAAGACAGACAAGCCCGTCCTGGTCGTGTCGCGAGTCACAGCCGATGTGTCGGACTGGCTCGCACCGCTCGCAGAGCAATATCATCTCTGCGTCTACACAGCAGACGCACCACTGGATCCCCGTAGCACGCACTTGCAAGTGCCCGCTAACCGCGGCCACGAAGCAATGGGCTACCTGACCTTCCTAATCGACAACTATGCCCAGCTACCCGCCACGGGGATGGTATTCGTGCACGGGTCCCGCTGGGCCTGGCACAACGATGCGCCGGACTATGACAACGCGGCCCTGCTGGCGGCGTTGAACATCTCGGCCGCCCTCGCCCCCTGGGGATACCACAATCTCCGCTGCGACTGGAGCGTCAGCACATGTTCCCCCAAGACACCCGCGCAGGGCAGCCTGGAGCTATCCATGCAGTCGGTTCTTGAGCCGTGGAGCGCGCGAACGGCCTCCGACGTGGCGCTACCAGGTGCACTGGCCAATTTATTTGGCAAAGACCAGATCAGCTTGGAGCTGGAGAGCGCGCGAGTGCAACTTGGTCGCAACGACGCGGTGCGCGCTCAATGTTGCGCGCAGTTTGTGGCCAGTCGCGAGAGCGTCTGGCAGCACACGCGGGACGAGTATATCGCGCTACGCCAGTGGCTGCTGGATGGCAGCGACGATGCCCAGTCTGGAGCAGGAGGAGCAGAAGGAGGAGGGGGGCGACGATCCCCGTCGGCCCGCCGAGCAGCACCACGGGATGACCGCATTGCCGGTCGGATATTGTCGTACGTGTGGCATATCTTGTTTATTCGGCGCGGTGCTCTTCATGCCGATGGTGGATCAGCGGCGATCGACCTGGAGCGACTGAATGGCATTGCGTGTCCGCGGGCGGACGAATGCTATTGTCGGTTGTATGGTCGGTGCAATCTGGGCCGATGCAATTCCGGTAGTTGCTTTGGGCAGTATCAGTTGCCTCCGGATTTCAAAGTCCCTGCGTGGGTGACTGAGAAGGGAGGGGCATGAAGTAGGAATTGTACACTTGGTTGGAGTCAATGTTAATTGTTTATACAAAGATTCCTAGAATGAAGATATTACGTTGTATCCCTTGCTTCCCTTTCTGCCCTGTCTTGCACGAGTCACATGATAATAGCCTGAGGCATGATCATGTTATTCCCTCAGGCATACAGGCCAGCTATGTTCCTGCACTCCAGGCTCTCAGGGAAATTGGAAAGCCCTCATTCCCAGCATCAGGCAACAGAATATTCCACCTTCCATCGTCTACCTCTCCTACTCCGTCCATGCTTGCAGACCTCCATCCCACAGAATTAATTAATTGTCTTCTCCCCCATGCCGATCGCTGATGATCTATGACCCACTGCGGGGTATTAACACGGGTTGTGCTTCCTGCTCTCCTCATTTCTGCCTTCCTCCATAACATTGGCATCCCAATCATAGCGTGCCAACCCCGGTCAGTTCTTAATTGAAGTGGAGACTCAAGGGTTCAGTGCGGAGTAACAACTACCGACCGGGGTGTCTTCCCTCCCCCTTGTTCTGCTTCAACATGGGTTTGTGGGCCTTCTCATATCCCACAATGGGCTTTTACTGAGGACAGATCTACTGGAACAGAAGGGTATACGAGTATCAGGAAATGCCTAGCTAAAAGGAAGACTTGAAACGAGAATTCAAGGGTATACATCGATAGCGGTAGCCTGGACGTTCGTCCACAAAGCCCAGGTCCGCAGAAGGATCAGCTGCCCGACGAAAAGCTTATATACGGGACCCCGTATGAACCGACAGCTCTCTGTCGCCCATACAATCCTCCGATGTATGCACCAGGTATGATACAGGGCTAGGAGGATACCGAGGCTCCATGGCCCGGCCCGCTTCTCACCTGCCGAGATCTTCTGCCGGTTCTAGCAAAACTTTCTTTCCCAGGGACTCCTGGCTTCTCTCACTGGCTTTTCCGGGGTAGCCACTGACAATTGCAATATATTTCCGCATCACTCGCTCCCCAGATCAGTTCATGTGGAGTCGATGATTGTGGGTTGTAGTCGAATCACCGACGTTCAGGCCGTTTTAAAACGCGGGGAAAGCAAACGATGGTCACAATTTCTCCGAAGATGATGTCGAGGCTGGTCACTGGTCCATCACATTCCGCAATGTGTCTTGTAAGGAGCAAAAATATGGAACCGCCCTGTTGATCACTACCTATAAGAAGAGGAACCTCCTGTGACTCCGTTTTTCGTGTTCTGCACAGGAGCGTCCCATCTTCCCTTCTCATTGTGTCGCTTCCACTCTGAGCCTGCAAAATGAAAGTAGCAAGTCTCCTATCCCTGACATTGCCTACAGCAGCCCTCGCTGCGTCCGACTCCTTCCAGTCACGCTGCAATGATTTCCAGAACAAGATCGACATCGCCAATGTCACCGTCAGATCAGTCGCATATGTTGCTGCGGGGCAGAACATCTCCCAAGCGGAGGTCGCCTCCACGTGTAAAGCATCGGTGCAAGCCAGTGTTGACCTGTGCCGCGTGACCATGAACATCTCCACATCAGATCGCAGCCATCTCTGGGCTGAAGCCTGGCTGCCACGAAATTATACCGGTCGCTTCGTGAGCACGGGGAATGGAGGTCTAGCCGGATGTGAGTGTCGCGCCCAATTGTGGACTGTGGTCTCCCCGTAGATCGTTCACTTACGAAGGAATTTGCTGATTTCCATATTAGGTGTCCAAGAAACGGACCTCAACTTTGCAGCCAACTTCGGTTTCGCCACCGTGGGCACTAACGCTGGACATGACGGGGATACGGCCAAATACTTCCTCAACAACTCGGAGGTTTTGGCCGACTTTGCCTATCGCTCAGTGCACGAAGGTACCGTGGTGGGTAAGCAACTAACTCAATTGTTTTATGATGAGGGGTACAACTACTCCTACTACCTGGGTTGTTCCACCGGTGGCCGCCAAGGTTACCAACAGGTCCAACGGTTCCCCGACGACTATGACGGAGTGATCGCGGGCTCCGCGGCAATGAACTTCATCAACCTGATCTCCTGGGGCGCCTTCTTGTGGAAGGCGACGGGATTAGCCGATGATCCAGACTTCATCTCTTCAGACCTGTGGTCCGTAATCCACCAGGAGATTGTTCGTCAGTGCGACCCGGTCGATGGGGCTTTGGATGGGATCATCGAAGACCCTGACTTCTGCGCTCCGGTCATCGAGCGGTTGATTTGCGACGGGACTACCAACAGCACCTCTTGTATCACGGGAGCGCAGGCAGCGAAGGTCAACCGGGCCTTGAGTGACTTCTATGGCCCCGACGGGACCGTGTACTACCCGCGCCTGAACTATGGGGGTGAGGCCGACGCGGCTTACCTTTACTTCACGGGGTCGATGTACAGCCGTACCGAGGAATGGTACAAATATGTGGTCTATAACGACACCAACTGGAACTCCAGCCAATGGACATTGGAGAGTGCCAAGCTGGCCCTGGAGCAGAATCCGTTCAATATCCAGGCGTTTGATCCCAACATCACGGCCTTCCGGGACCGGGGAGGCAAGCTGCTGTCCTACCATGGCACGCAGGATCCCATCATCAGCTCCACGGACAGCAAACTCTACTACCGGCGGGTAGCGAATGCGCTGAATGCCGCGCCGTCCGAGCTAGATGAGTTCTATCGGTTCTTCCAGATCTCTGGCATGGGCCACTGCGGCGATGGCACGGGAGCATCGTATATCGGCCAGGGATATGGCACGTACACCTCCAAGGCGCCCCAGGTCAACCTGCTGCGCACCATGGTGGACTGGGTGGAAAACGGGAAGGCGCCAGAGTATATGCCGGGCAACAAGCTCAATGCGAACGGATCGATTGAGTACATGCGCAAGCACTGCCGGTATCCGAAGCATAACGTTCACACGGGGCCGGGTAACTACACCGATCCTAACTCCTGGACTTGTGTATAATTAGCGGTGGTTCTCGTTTGGGTAACAGAAGTAGTTAGTGCAGTGTTGAAACCTTATCAAATGCCATGTCGTATATCGCTTCTAGCTTCCTTCTATCAAGTAAATATATGTAGAGATGCGCTGATCGCAGACAATTCAACATGCATTCCGGGGACTAGTAGTTGAGAGAGATGCCACCATGACAGTATTGACACTGGCATCCAAGACAGACAAGCAAATCCAGAAAAGGCAGGTGCGACCGATGCGGAAGGAACGAACGGGATGCCGACTGTTGTAGACGCCTAAGGCCACAACTTTAGAAAATGTTGCTGCCTGGACGAGAGAGATAGCAATTACTGAGATCACGTGGAGGTGGAGCTAGTGGCTCTGGTCGGACTCGGACCGAGATCCCGCTGATTCAGCAAGCCAAGAGCGCCAATCGGTAAATCCTCCCCCCGCTCAAGCTTCCAGCTTCCATGCAGAAACAATCCGATGCAAATCATCATATCCGTTTCAGCACTTCAGCTATGGCCGTCACTATCTACGAAGCAGTATGCTTTTCCACTGCCACCAGGAGTCTTCGAATAATATTTCCGACACCAAAGGGCTTCCGGAAGGTGGCAGCCAAACACCAATGTCAATAGCTGCCGAAATTCCACCACATGAGACGCAATGCACGTCTGACATTTGGGTTCGGCCAAGCCACGTCTGAGATTGCTTGTGTGCAAAGCTTGGCTTCACAGCTGGCAATGAGCAATACTACTGCTGCTATCTCGTCTCTCATAGGATGCCCTGTCTACCTTTTGCATGCATGACTCCGTACGGTTCAACAGAACAGTGGCTTGTCAGGCACCACGGCTAGTTATTCACTTTTCTCTTGTTCGTCTCATCCACCTGCTTCAGGGACTATTTACAGGGACGATAGTATAAATAGATTTCGACCAAAATAGTACCGATTACTACCAAGAATATCGCCCTAAGTCCCTAGTTTTATCCTTGTGGCTTTGCACTTCTCCATCCTCATTGGCAATTCATCCATCAAGAATTGAGTCGAGTCATTCGTCTTCATGATGGTGGTGAACACCCACTGGAGGCAATATATATATCCGCCATCCCTGCGGAACAGCCACACTGAGTGGATGAATTGAGACCTCCACCCCAAAAATAGCAGCGGAATACTGAACAATTTTCTACAATGAATTCTCTCTTATTTTTGGAGCCTACGATATTCAATTGTTGTGCTCTTAATCCTACCTATCTTATGAATGCGCGGTGCTAAGTGTCAAATGTCCGAATATGCGTGAGACATGGACGGCCACGGAGCGCCACGCCCAAGGGTGATCCGCCCGTGTGTGGAGCCAGCCAGTCGAACGCTGGGAACGTTGCGACTCAGTTACCAACTATTACTACGAACTAGTCGGATAGGTAGTTCGTAATCCACCACTGTTGTGGTGCCTCAGGCGAGAGGATGAGTCCTGGAAGACTATTTACCCCCTTCGCTTGCAGATTGGACCATTGCTCCATAATTGTCGTATTGCCAAGATAACATTTAAATTCTCTACCTCGAGAGGAGGGTCGGACAGACGAATATATAAGAAGAAGAAGAGGAACACCAAGTGAGAAGGACACTTTTTTCCCTTCGACACCGGAAAAACCCAGGTTCAACATTTGAAGTCAGCCTGATGGGAGCCTGCCAGTCCGCCGTTTTGGCCGAGCTGATTGCTGCCTGGCAAACGAGTGGTGATTGGCCTAAGAGCTTGACACTGACCCCCTTTCAATTCCCCCTTTAGTGCTCGCTCCTCAAGTCAGAGACGACGAAGTACTAACCACCCGAGACGAGGAAGGTGATCCTGGCTCGGATGGTGAAACTGGCGTTGCCTTGGGACCTGTCACTTTGGTTTCTGATAATCTTACAGCCTTACGTGGAAAACGAGTCAGCGCAACTGCATCATGATGATGGTTCATTCTATTCTATCGCGCGCGAGAGAGCAATTGCGCAAAAAAGTTTTCTCAACGATGACAATCATGCCCTGATTCTCTTTAGCTTCTGCTCTGTTGCTTGACTCCTTTTTTTTTTTTTGCCGTTTCTCTGCTTCTTTCCTCTCAATCCAGTCCATTGAACTTACCTGAATGGGAACTTGCCGGAAATGGAATTTTGCGTGGCCGAAAATCCCCACTGTGGATCACGCGATGTTCGCTGGCCCCAACGGCAGCCAATCATGATAGGAATACACCTCGCTTGCTCGGAAAATTGGCCGGACCGGGGTCCACCGGCTGCGCGTCTTTTCGGGGGAACCTCTGCTTCTTTCGCTTTGTTCACCTTCATTTCCACCTGCACCCACGCTTGCTGCTGCTCGTCTTTCCATCCGAACTCGCATAGTCGCATGGTTGCTCGGTCTTAGCTACCATAGTCGCTCGGACTAAATCGCCGCTAGTAGGCATCCTCATTCTTGGGTCCAATAGGATTGCCCCGGCCTTCGTCATCCACTGGATCCGATCCGGGAACCATGACAGTCCGCCGAATTTTCTCGACGCCCACCTTCAACGCCCGCCCATCACATCATCCTGTCTGCCCCCTCCTCCGTCTTCGTCGTCGCAATCGTTTTCCACCGTCAACGCGGCCACACACACTTCGCCTCTTCCTGCCCAAGAGCGCTATGTTGGAACCCTTTCTGTATTCTCCGTCGAGTCCGAGGGATCAGGGTCATGAGCCCGTATAAATATATCCTGTCGACCATGGGTATCCGTTGATGGAGGTGGTCCCCCCGGATAAGGATTTTTACTCCCGGTGGAGCCAGGCTGCTGACGACAAGAGATCTTAAACATCCGCTACCGACAAGTTAGGACCGTCGCTGGCCATTTCCAGTTCCTGTGCACTGCCCGGCGTGGCTATAATGCTGGTCTGCATTGTTCCTGGCGGGCCAAAAAGGAAAATTATCCTGCTCCCACTGCGACGGACAAGCATCATCTGGCTACTATTCTGGTATCGCCCCCCGGACCGCCAGATATATCGCACACTGTAAACACGCATCCTCCGTCGAATTATCGCCACTACTCTCCAAGGCTTAGACTTTCATCCCCCGCCATCTCGTCCTCTTATTTGCCCTGTCCCGTAGCTGCTTCGTTCCCCCCCTATATATAGTTCTTGGGCACGTATCCAATGGTCCATGGGTGCTCCACTCTTCTAGCAGTTGGTTTATCTACGCCCTAGCCCAATTGACGGTTGCGTGGTACCGTTGTTGTCCCCAGCCCATTTTTTTCCCCCTAGGCCCTCTTTTTCTTCCCTCCTTTGGGGGGCTCCTGTTTATTTTTGTGCCCTTTTTAATTTTGCAGTGTTATTTTTGGGATCCTTCTTTGCCCAGCCCCAGAACCTCCCTAGAACCCTCGTTATACTTTTACCCTTTCCCTGTTTGCCTCAAGAAGACCACTCGTCGCAACTTCCGGCAATCCCATCTTCAACCTTCAAGATGGGTACGCCGACACATCCATACTCGGCCCATTCGCCTCGGGAAAGCGAAAGCAGCTACTTCTCCCACACGTCTCCCCCCCATGGTGTGAGTGTGTCCCGTCAAGCTGGCCGCCCGTTCAATACCTAATCGTGATAGCTCCAAACTTACCACTCCGAGCAACATGAGCACGACGAGCAGGAACAGTCTCTGCTGGAGCGCAACAATTCCAGTCACTACGGCACGCCCTTCGATGATCCTGCCGTGTCGACAGACTCCATCCGTCGCTACACTCTGCACGACGACGGTCCTGCAGTCTTCGCCGCGCCCCCTTACCAAGAATCCGAAGCCGCTTCCGAAAACACCTTCCGTGCCCGGAGCAATGGCGACAAGGCTTCCCGTGAAGGGAGTCGCGCGGGGGCCCTGCGCCGTTACGGAACGAGAAAGATCAACCTGGTGCAGGGTTCCGTCCTGAGTATCGACTACCCGGTGCCGAGTGCCATTCAGAACGCCATCCAGCCCCAATACCGGGATGCGGAGGAGGCATTCTCCGAGGAATTCACACACATGAGATGTAGGTGCCATGCGACTTTGCGGAGATGGCCAATTGTCCGGCTGACCAAAGCATCGCAGACACGGCCGCCACTTGTGATCCCGACGAGTTCACGCTGCGCAACGGTTACAATCTGCGGCCGGCTATCTATAACCGGCATACCGAGTTGCTGATCGCCATCACCTACTACAACGAAGACAAGGTCTTGACCGCGCGTACCCTTCACGGTGTCATGCAGAACATCCGTGACATTGTCAACTTGAAGAAATCCGAGTTCTGGAACAAGGGTGGCCCTGCTTGGCAGAAGATCGTGGTCTGTTTGGTTTTCGATGGTATTGAGCCATGCGACAAAAACACACTGGATGTGTTGGCGACGATTGGTATCTACCAGGATGGAGTCATGAAGAAGGACGTTGACGGGCGGGAAACCGTTGCCCACGTTGTAAGTTTTGCTTCTTTCCACTTTTCCTCCGCTGCCGCCGTTGTGCAGACCGCCTTTGGACCATCGGGGATCGGCACCGCAAGGAGTCCGATTGTGTACTGACCGTCGCAGTTTGAATATACTACCCAATTGTCCGTCACTCCGACGCAGCAGTTGATTCGGCCCCAGGGCAATGAGTCGACCAACTTCCCCCCGGTGCAGATGATCTTCTGTCTCAAGCAGAAGAATAGCAAGAAGATCAACTCCCACCGTTGGCTGTTCAACGCCTTCAGTCGTATCTTGAACCCGGAAGTCGTCATTCTGCTGGATGCCGGTACCAAACCCGGTCATAAATCTCTGCTTGCTCTCTGGGAGGCCTTCTACAATGACAAGACACTCGGTGGAGCCTGTGGTGAGATCCATGCAATGCTGGGACAGGGCTGGCGCAAGGTCGTCAATCCGCTAGTCGCTGCGCAGAACTTCGAGTACAAGATTTCTAATATTCTCGATAAACCCCTGGAAAGTGCATTCGGATATGTCAGTGTCTTGCCTGGTGCATTCTCTGCCTATCGGTATCGCGCTATCATGGGCCGTCCGCTGGAACAATACTTCCACGGAGACCACACGTTATCAAAGCGTCTTGGAAAGAAGGGTATTGACGGCATGAATATCTTCAAGAAGAACATGTTCTTGGCCGAGGATCGTATTCTCTGCTTCGAATTGGTGGCCAAGGCTGGCTTCAAGTGGCATCTCAGTTACGTCAAGGCGTCCAAGGGTGAGACCGATGTTCCGGAAGGCGTGGCCGAATTCATCAGTCAAAGACGTCGTTGGCTGAACGGTTCTTTTGCCGCTGGTCTGTATTCCATCATGCATTTCGGTCGTATCTACCGCAGTGGTCACAGTATCATTCGCATGTTCTTCCTGCACATTCAGATGATCTACAACGTGTGTCAACTGATCATGACCTGGTTCTCCCTTGCTTCTTACTGGCTCACTAGTTCCGTCATCATGGATCTGGTGGGTACGCCGTCTACGAGTAACAAGAACAAGGGTTGGCCATGGGGTAACGATGCGTCGCCCATTGTCAACAACTTCGTCAAATACGGTTACGTCTGGGTTCTTACGCTGCAGTTCATCATGGCTTTGGGTAATCGGCCGAAGGGTGTCAAAATTCCTTACATCTTGTCCTACCTTTACTTCTCCCTCGTCCAGTTGTACGTCCTCATCCTGTCGTTCTACCTGGTCGTGGGTGCCTTTAACGGTGGTATGATGGACTTCAACTTCGACGAAGGCGTTGGCACATTCCTTTCCTCATTCTTCAGCTCCAGCGGTGGTGGTATCGTCCTGATCGCTTTGGTCTCCACCTACGGAATCTACATCATTGCGAGTGTCCTGTATATGGATCCCTGGCACATCATCACCAGTTCCTGGGCCTACTTCCTGGGTATGACGACCTCGATCAACATCCTGATGGTCTACGCCTTCTGTAACTGGCACGACGTTTCATGGGGTACTAAGGGTTCGGACAAAGCCGAGGCCCTGCCTTCCGCGCAAACCAAGAAGGACGACGACAACAAGCAGAACTTTATCGAGGAAATCGACAAGCCGCAAGCTGATATCGACAGTCAGTTCGAGGCAACGGTGAAGCGGGCGTTGTCGCCGTGGATCGAGCCAGAGGAAGAGGGCGGCAAGAGTCTGGACGATGCGTACCGCAACTTCCGTACTGTGCTCGTGTGTCTGTGGGTGTTTAGTAACCTGCTCGTGACGCTGTTGATCACCGCCACTGGAGTAGACAAGATGTGTCTGACGGTACGTTCCCTCCCTGTTCTCTGGTAAAGCTATAACTTGTAACATCATCTAACGAAATTCCAGAACACTTCCACCACCCGTACATCCTGGTACTTCGAGGTCATTCTGTGGATCACGGCCGGTCTGTCGTTGTTCCGTTTCATTGGCTCGCTGTGGTTCTTGGGCCGGTCGGGTATTCTGTGCTGTGTGTCCCGGCGCTAATTGCGATCGCGTTGGGAAAAGAGAGCGCGCCGAGACCTATTTCGCTATATACCTATCCACCTACCTACCTATCCTGCATGATTATGTCGTGTTATCCAGCGCGTGGTTCCATGGGATTGTACATTTATGGACCTGTTTGAGTGTTGATCTATTTTGTTTCCCCTTCTATGCAATGATAATAATAGAGCGGTTTTGATCTATTGGTGAAATTGTTGGAATTTTAGAATAGCTGAGATGATTGATAAAAGAATGACATGACCAATTGCATACTACCAGTTTACCGTGGGAGCAGAGTATTGAATTCAACGAATACTAACCCCAATCGAAGAAAAGAAACGATAACGCCAATGTAACCACAGAATCACCAGCTGCCAGCGAAACAACCGCCCAACCAAGCCCAGACCCATCAGCCTACCCAGCCAAAGCCAGAGCCAGCTCCAGCTCCAACTTCAAGCATACTAATCAACCCCACCCAAGGCTGCAGAACTTCGTTCCAATAAACCTTCTCACAGGGAACCACAACTACCAACCATTCCATTCATCATCCTTCTTCCCCAATGCCTTCTTCACAGTCGCACACCCCTCCACATCACCCGCATGGGCCTCAAGAAGCGCTTCCAATGACAGCCTAGTAATATCACACACCTCCTGAGACGAGATATTGCCCACCTCAATTTGCAAATCAAGACAAGCCTCATGGAAACAATGAAGCTTCGCACACACCGCGTCCATCTCGGCCCGAATGTCTTGTGCTTGCTCCTCGAGAGCCAGTAGCTTATCAGCGATATCCTGAAAGGCCCTGAGGTTCTTCTCATAGACCTTTTCACCCTGCTTGATGATGTCGAGAGCGGTGTCTACCCATGGTAGATCCTCGCGAGCACCACCCCATCCGTCGGACTTCTGCTCGAAAGGCCTCCACTCACGGAGTTCGTCTTCGGTGCCGATGGTCGATTCCGCTTCGGCAGCGGTGGTGGCGGTGGCGGGAGTGGTTGCGGATTCGAGTTGTTCCACTAGGACCTTGAGATTGGCGAGGAGGTGGGCGGGAATGGTAGGCTTGGTGGTGGTGGTGGTGGTCGAGGTAGTGGTAGTGGTGCGCTTCGCGTCCCGGGTTGCAAGAGTCGGGGAAAGTATAGGACGTTTCTTCTGGGGAGTGGAGCTGGAAGATGGCCAAACAACGGAGGGCGCGGCGGAGGAGGTGGAGGGAGTCATGGCGAAGGGGAACTTGGTCGACGCGGCACGGTTGTTCAGGGCTTTGGAGATGGAGTCCTTAAAGCTCTCCCGCTTGATCTTGGTTTTGGTGTCGTCCATTGTTGATGGAGATCACTTGGGGTGGTTGAGGTAGATTATGATGATTGAGAAGATGGGGAGATTGGAAGCGAGGTGTGAGTGGATGGAAGAGGGAGGAAGGAAGAGAGGAAGAGATGAAGGGGCCTTTTAAGGTAGACAGCCAGTGTTATTTAGGTGAAAGAATCTTGAGGTTAAGTGGTGGCCGTGGGATTAATTCACTTCTTTCTACTTCACTCTATGGAGAGTGCTTTGTAGGTGTTGGGAATGTTTGCCATATTCATGCCTGATGGCTAAATTGATAAAAGACTAAGTACCCAGTCAAGTAATTGTGGGTATTGTACTATTTGTGTTTGAGTTACTGCAGTTAGATTCTCTCTCGGTCAAAATATACTACTACTCTACTGGACAATGCCAGCTTAACTTGCATGTGTTGGAGGTGGTGGTAGATGGGTAGTTATGGTGTGTAGTGAATAGAAATCTAGTAGATCGTTGTTGCTTTGACATATACATAGCGGCCATGCGTCGCCCAGGAGGAATTATCTCTACTACTAGTTATATTTATATGGGTGTTCAGGTAAGCTCGGGTTTCCTCTATTTAGAGACAGTGATTCCTTCGTGGTCTCTCATGGTCTTTGGTGTGGGGCGCTCGAAAGGTGCAGCAAAGGAGAAAGTACCCCGAAAAGATCCATTTATAATCTCAAATGCTGGGAGCGAATGCCTTCGGCCTTGATATAGTTCTATTTTATCTGCATGTATACTGCCAGTGGCGATTTCTCAACGCGGGTTGAAGAAGCCCCGGTGATTCCTTCCCTAAATCATGAATGACCATGATATGTAGTGGTTTTCTTTCTGGCCGATCCTGGTTGTAGCATCAAACCTCTATCAACACTATCACCCAACATATCCTTACGACAGAAATATTCTTTTACGCGATGGACCTCCCAGTTTATAGTACAAGCCAGCCTTCGTTATGTGCCCTGCCCGTGGAGCTCATCCAAGCCATTCTTTGCAACCTTCCAGATCTCGAGTCCCTTAAATCGGCCCAATTGACGCATTCTGCGCTATACTTTGCCTTCATTGGCGCTGAAAGTCACATTTTAAAGCAGATATTAGCGCAAAAGATTCCTACGGCGCTTTTACCAGATGCGTTTTTCGCCTTCGACGCATCCACTGTGGAGGGCGTGTGGACGCAAGATGAAGTGCACTCCATAATCTACCGGCATCGGACCCGCCAAATCTCTTCATCATTTCCTCTAAACCCCCAGTCTGCTTTCAAAATCACTGAATTATATCGCTGGGTTCGACATTTCACCAGACACTTTCTCAGGCAGGCAATAGCCGACCCAATGCAGGGGAGAACCCACCCGCCTATGCCTTTATATCAACCAACATCCTCAGAGGAGTGTCGAGTAGCAAGGGCGCTCTACCGTTTCGAGATCCATCGCCATCTTTTTAGGATGCGTGAGCCGTATGCGAATTATTCCAAGTGTTCACCGGACTTCCTGATAAGTGACCAATGGGGTTACTATTTCCGTCACTTCCCCGCGTGGGAACTTGAGCAGATACTGTCAGTCAGTGAGTATCTCTTTCGGAGGGTGGCCAAATGTGGGTGTCTCTTTCTTCCATTTCCTAGACCGGGTCACATAAGCTCCGAAATCTGATTGCTAAACAGGTTTGCGGCCATTCGCAGAGAATAGGACTTGGACCACCGAGGGTATCTGGTATTATTCCAGCAATGCCTACCTAATGACAGATCCATCGCCTGTAGGAACTCTAGTGAGTTCTACACAGACCCGTAGAGCCCATTTCATTGTGGATTGATCTGACCACAGTCAGCTATGCCACGGCCTGCGGTATATTGGGGACCTCGTCACAGCTCAAACATTTGGCCAGCATAACCTACTCGCCAACGAATTGTTTGGCAAGCCTTTCATGTCTTCGCTACCAGACATATTCAGGGCTATCTGGGAGTCTCAGAATGTATTCCACGCTTATCCATCACTTACATGCGAAGTCGAGGGGCAAACTATCGATTGGCAAGATACAGGGTATGTCGGATCCGATCCGGGCCCAGTTCATGCATGGCATACGATGATGACGGCAACAATCTCGAATGGAGGCGTATCTCCGCAAGTTGGCCATCATTCTATGTGTGAGCTCCGTCGACAGGGTTATGTGTTCTGGGATCAGGTTCGTATCGAGGAATGGGGCCTCAGCAGCAACACCATCGATATCCCTCTTTATTTTCCCAATTGGCAGCAGGAGCTACACCTTAGAACGGCTAGCGCCTTGTACAGTCGGCCACACTTGTATTATAATGCAGGCGTGGGTAGCTGGTGGTACCCAAGAGAAATAGCCCCCCTTCCTGTCGTCCGATTGCCTCCGAGACAGTAGAGGAGCATTCTTTGGTGGCTGAAGATGAGTCACAGACATACTTTGCTATAGCGGAAGGCTACAACATGCCTGTCGGTCAGTGAATCTCACAGGCGGGTTCAAAACTCGATGATTGGGTTGGTATGGTAGGATGATTATATAGACATAGATAATGTAGGTACCTTCAGCACCGAAAATTTGACCGGGCATGGCGTTGATGGATATTCATACATGGTATATAACACGGGCCCAAGATGGTAGCGTAGTACAAAATCCGTGTCACTTTATCACTTTAGTTAGTACCGACCAGACGGGTGAAACCTCGCGACTAGGTTCAAACATAACCCCACGAATCTCTACTGCAGGCACTAGGCAGACACAATCCTGGTGGCTGGCACTGCCACCGCGGGACGGACCCTGTGATGCATCTGAGACACGGAATTGCCGCTGTCTTAATTAGAGTTTGTAACCTCCCAATCTTGACAGACATAAGCCTGTCAATGTGTCAGAGGAACCTTCTAGCCAAGGATGAGACCGAATTTACAATTCGCAGCCCAGCTAATTGAAGGCTAGGCAATATTAGGAATATGCAGGAACGCCATAGGTACTACATGACAAATAGAGGAAACAAAGAATGACTATTGAAGAGTTGTTGGTACGACGTGAATATCAAGCCCAGTAGAAGACCTGTCATGTCAGAACGAAACTCCCTTGCAGCAAAGCACCATCTTGAAAGTTGGGCTGCAGAGGAATCTTTATGAATCAAATATCTTAATGACAGGGTGCTGATCGTGCCAAGATCGTGTCAAAGTTCGCGAGGACCCTGATCGTGTGGTGTGACATGCCTTTCGGGCAGTGATCGTCGCAGGATCTGAACCTTGGGTGATCCTTTCATGTATGTTTTCTGTTCATCCAAGATGAGGGTAAAACACGTGTGAGGATGAAACACCAGGTATAATGAGAATATGTACCTATAGCCGAGATGAAGAGTTTCAAGAGTTGCATTGCATTCTGAAGATCATCAACAAGCACACGCATACCCACACCCACACCCACACCCACACAAGTTAAGCACAAAATAACCGTAGACGATGCCGATCATCCTGTCTGTCTGCTCGTATTAGTCTAAAGAATAGGATCTGCCCCGTAGCGTTTACCCTCGGAGGAAGCTGACGTTGGCCAACCCAAAGAAGCAACACGGTGTGAAAGACAATGAGTCCCGTCGCCCACCAATCAAGTGGGGAGAAACTGCTCGCTACGTTGACCTCGATCTAGCAGAGTGTTCTTGGCGCTAAAGCCAACAGAGAGGGTCTGGTAGGAAAAAGCTTGTGTGGCGTAGACAAGTTAAGACACGGGCTAGAAGCCGAACAAAATAGGGGGCCAGCCATTGACGAGTGGACACTCATTGCTGGAAATACCTCGGAAGCTTCCGAGCCAAGCTCGGGTCAAGCAATGGTTCAGCGTAGGCATCCATGAAATAAGGTTCCGCAAAGGGGAAAAGAAGAGTCACAGATACCATGGGGAACAAATAGCAAAGAAGTCCGTCCTCGAGTCTGAGTCTGCCTGGTGGTGGAGGAAAGATGATGGGCGGGATTGCGTGGTCAGCCTTATAGGGCGCGCGTATTGCTGCATCGGACTCCGCGGATTCCTCTCTCTTTGAACGGGATCGACTGAAACCTGGCTGCCTATTAGGTCCCTGATCCATCTCATCCTGTCTTCTTCCTACGACTAGTACGACTGCAGTGCTCGTGATAGTCATACTTATCTACACGCCATACCTGCAGACTCCCCCGCCATCTCCCCCCTAGTCATTTAGTCTCTCCTGTTCTGTTCCGTTCCCCTCATGAATTTTCCCATTTGACCGACTGCTATCTTGGCAAACCGTCACTCTTTACAGATTCATCTATATTTTCTTTATTTCTTCCTGCGCATCAGTCATCATGCGTACCCGTTTCCTGTGCCTCGCGGGCGCCTGGCTGGCCAGCTGTGCTGCCAGTCCAGTTGCCAGTCATCCTGGTGATGCTTCCGTGCCCCAGATGGCTATCAAGGACTCGCACGCCCCGTTCCCCGTCGTGACTGGCCATGAGATTCATATTCCCTGTGCTACGATCCCAGGGTCCAAGGAGGATGAGGCAAAGGATGCCTCTAAAGCATATCTGGTACGTGCGCCCGTACTAACGACGGTCGGAAAGGGTCCAAGCATCACTAACCTTGCCATGTAGGCGATGAAACTCCGCACGGAGAGCAATGCTCTATTTGTCAACGATGTTACCGTCTTTCCTAGTTCATTTCCCATGCATTTGCCGGCAACCCGATACCAGGACGCGTCCCGTCAGAATGCGGAGCATCTGCTCCTGCAGTACGCCATGGACATCGAATATATGCCCCCTCGTCCGGATGGGTCCCTAGTCCAAGACATCTACCGTGTGCAACTCAAGTTCTTCGACCTTTCCGGCCGTCCTGCCACGACAGACACTGTCAGCGTTCGACTGTCGTCACAGCTGTCGGGCGAATTGTACATTACTCAGATCAGCGTCGAGCCACTTCCCCACTACCATGACGCGCACGGCGATGGAAATTGTGTCTGGCACGCCAAGTACTGGAACTTGATTATGGAAAAGTATCGTACCTGGCGCGAGAAGAAAGGACACGGCGCCCACAAAGGACCCAAGTCGCAGGAGAGTGACAACCACGAGCACAATGATCATCACCATCATCCCAAGGAGCGACCAGCAACCCACGAGGGAGCCGAGGAGCGCAGACCGTTCCTCAAGGAACGGCCCACCGCACACCAGGAGGATAAAGAGAACAGTCCAGAACTCCCCACGACGGACTCCGACAAAGCTGCGCCCGACTCCCCGTTCCGGGTGTATGGGGTGGACAAATCTCTGCGACCGACAGCTTTGCGTAACAAGGATTACCGCCGGGACTTCTGGCGACTCGTGGTGCCTGCCATCATTCCGGGACTTTTGGGGGCCGTTGCTGGATTGGTAGTGTGCACGATGGGGTTGCTTCTCTGGAAGATTGTGGCATGCACGTGTGTCAGTATGCAGCAGGGTCGGAGATGTCGGAAGCGTTGCCAAAGGAAGCAAGGCGTGTTCTTATCGGAGAAGCAACGACTGCTGCAGCAAGACGAGCTGAGTGAGGCGTAGTCCCATTACCCTACTTAGCATTAAGTAGGGATGATGGTAATCCTGCGTGGGGGCTGAGTCGGTCGCAGATGCACGGCGTGATTTTTTATTAACTGATGTAAATAACATGAGACAAGCTGAGTAATGCACATTATTTGCTCCATGTGATAGTCTATCGTCTAATATTAGGGTGTGATACAAAGATGTCTCCAGTAGATTATTTGAAAGCGGGGTTTGGGTTACTAGTTACTAGTTAGTCCGGGAAAACTGAGGCCTGCAGGAAACTATTGAAATATTCCCTTGGCGACCGTCACTTTGAAGGAGAAAGAGTTAGTAGAATGGTGGAGGTAGTAGTAGTAGTAGTAGTAGTAGTAGCGGTGGTGGTGGTGGTGATGGAAGAAGAGCCTTCCGATTTCCGAACTGTCTCATCCGGTGTTTAGTAATAGATAACTGAATGGGCAGTTGTTGTTACTCAAAGGAAGCAGGGGGATGGGCTGTTGCCTGGACTAGCAGAGACTGCATCATCCACTGGCCCCAATGAATCCCTTCCCTTCCCTTCCCTTCCGTGCGTCATGGCTCCCCTCAAAACCGGTCCTCCACATCTTGCTTTCTTCCTCTGCTGAAAATAAATAGCCAATACAACTGATTCATTTCTGCGATGATCACCCCCCTCAAGATCCTGATTGGCGTGGAAAATACGTATGTCGCTGCAGGGCTGGCGATACGCCGGGGAACGGGGGCAAAACCGAGTAGGGTAAATTCCCAAGATGATCCACGGGCGGAAATAACCGGCTACTACAAAAATCCTTCACAATTCTACTAATCATACTAATGAGTACACTACTCTGTGCTTTTACTTTTTCGAGTTGAGAGAGATTACGGAGGACCACCACCGGCTTGGTCTGGGTCTTGTCATTGGACAAGCCTTGTCGCGAAGCTTGTCCAAAAAGCTTAGTTGACCGCCAGTGGATGCTCTCTGATTGGGGGTGTGGCTGTGATGTGATCCACCTCGTCACAATACTGATTATTATTCATTAATTAACCCATGTATTGAACCATTTGAATGGCTGGTCCCTGAGCCACCGATCATCCACCGTGTCTGATCCACTTCAGTTACTACTTTGTACCACTTATTCCTTCTCGGCAGGGCTGAGCCAGTGATGTCACCTCCACCTGCAACCGATGCAAGAATAGCAACCACCAACTGGGAATGGTCGACTGACTGTCTTGTCTCTCCTCAGCTTCGCCCGCCCAATCCTTTCTAACCCACCAGCAGTCGACACGATCTATCGGCGCCTAACGGTGAGGTCATCACCTCGCCTATCTTCTCCTTGGATGCTAATAGGGCTGACCGCTGGGCCCCCCCGACTCCCCAGATTGCAAAATGGCCAACGGATAAATACTACTAACTGCCCCCGCCCGGTACCTATTCTTCTTCTTTTCATTCTTTAGCATTTCAGATACCCTTTCGCCTTCCCTCGGATAACTCCTTATCTACCCGTGTGACTCCGGCTTAAGTCAGCTTCTCCCATCTCCCAACTCTCCCATTGCCGAAAGAGCAAAAAAGCAAACAAACCCCAACAAAAGCCACCGCCGAGATGTTCGACTGGTTCAAGTCTTCCAACAAGGAGTCTGCTACCCAGCAGCCCACCTGGAACCCCAACACCATGACCATGCAGCAGCCTTCCGCCCCGGAAGCTCCCGTAACCGAGCAGGTCGTCACCGGTCAACCCGTGCGTCCCACCCATCTTCCACCCCCCTTGCCGCACAAAAACAAATCTAACATACCTCTAGGGCCAGCAAGAGACGATGCAGATGGGCCTGCGTGGTGGTGGTGAGGGCGAGGATGTTTGCTGTGGCGTGTATGTTTATCTCTCTATGCTCTAACGTGCTATTGATCGACACTAACCATACGATAATAGGTGCGCCGGTCTTTGCTGCTTCGAATGCTGCGAATGCTGCTGCTAGATGAGATAATCACCCGGATAGACCATCTTCTATACTACGATCCTTAACGTCCATGTACTGTTAATATTGCTCGCATCATGACTATACCATGTTTTTAGCCTGGAGACTGAAGTGATAGAAGGTCCGCATCCTGGTCTTCATATACCAATGTCACAATAATATCTTACAATATGCTCTTATTCCATTCTACCTTATTTCTTTTCATACTACTTTGCATTGAATTTCTTTATAACCCGGTGGCCTCTATAACGGAACGTTATGGTTCAATTCACCCACTGGCCGACACAGGGAAAGGCCAAGGCAATGGAGCACCTGCCAAGATCGCAGTGATTGCGGATTTGTTGTCGATCCCGATGACCAAAAAGCTTATTGTTGGGACTTCGCTGAAAGAATAGTAACATATATATAGAAGGTTATTTTCTAGACCACCGTCAATTGTGGATCGCCTTCAAGAGTAAGTGTTGTCGGTGCCAATCCATATACAAAAAAGTTAATTTGATCCGTGACTTCACTGACAGATATATATCTACTAAGTACTAACTAATAGAGACTACTCTAGTACTAATGTTAGTGAGATAATTTTCTCATGAATCGATTCGTCAAAGAGACAGCCAGACTACTCAAGTGGACGACAATTTAAGATAGTTACCAATTACTACAGAGAATGAATGCTACCTCTGGCTAGCATCCACCTTCAAGTCTCCCAAGCCCCAACACCGAGGGGATTATACGGTGGTATCTCATCCCATTAACGTGGGGCGCAGCTGTGGAGTGACTCGCGCCGAAGGCAGCTTGGCACTTGATGCACAGCGCCCTGCTCTAGCCGAGACATCCGACCGGGCCGTTATCATGTATGTCCATTAAAGGGCTTGGATTGTCCACGGAGAATTGATCTTAGCACTGTTGCTCCTGTTCGTGAACGGTGATCCTCGCCCCACGGCTCGTCCGAGTAGCATCAGGCTATCTTACTGCTTCCTCACCATCTATGCGCCATTTTTAAAGGGATCAATGCTTTGTTGAACACTAGAGCAAGGCTGAAAGAGTGAGACTACAACTACCGTGACTCGGACGTCGCTCGGCTAATCGCTGGCGAAGCAGGCAGTCATCTGGTGGTGGCAGAGCAGACCAGAGAGACATTAGACGAACCAGAATCAATAGCGCTAAACTCGAACCAACTATCATGAAAAGTTGCTGCACCCATTTAGGAAACATGCAATTTCCCATGCAGCAACTAGTTCTGACAGATAATTCGCGCCGAGGTCCAACCGTCGTTAGTTGCATTGATTCTGACCTCCGTGACTGATCCGGCTAGCCGCACTTAAAGCCCTTTTTCCTGACCCGTGAGTATAGACCTTCCACAACTTCGACGTTGCAACAATTATCCAACTATATAATAGGGACCCCCCCATGGATCGAAAGGCATATAAATTCAGTGATTGCCACCAGCCAGAACAGACCTTTGTGTCGAAGCGAAGAGGTGAATGGGCCTAAGGGTCCTTAGCCTGGCGCTAAGCACTCTCATTTCCAGCGCTAAATGACATCCGAATGCTACGAAGTGAGACATACCCAATCACCACATCCCATGACAGTCATAGCGGCCCCGGGGTTCTCGTAATAGCGGACCCTATCCGGAGAGAGGTCCGAACAAAGCGGCTCTACAGAATCTTTTTGATGCCCATTCGACTGTCTACTCGCTTGTGTCATTTCCCAAAGCTACCAATGTTGGGGCCGTCAGCATGACCTGAAAATGAGATGAGCTTGGCTCTGCAGCCAAGGCTATAGAAAGGGGGATAAAAGCGCCCCCCTCAAGCCTTTTCCCCTGATACTACACCCCGTTCATCATTCATTCCTCTCTACGGAGTTCTATCAAACAGCAAACCTCACCCAAAATTCAGAACCCCAGAGATAGATCAAGATCATCCCAGCCACCACCATGCGCACCTCCTACCTCCTCGCCGCCGCCCTCACCCTCCTTGGCGGTGCTCACGCCGACGACGACAGCACCACAGTAGTCGGCTACTTCAGGCCCTATTGGTCGGTGGACCTCCCTGAATACGGTGGCTGGACCAGCACCGGCGCCAGCGTCGCAGGCATCAATGCCGTGAAAACCACCTACAAAATGAGCTGTCTCAAAGACGCCCCCAAGACAGACTGCGACATGAAGGACGCATACACTATCATTCAAGGCCCGGAAACCGTCAGTGTCAGCCAAGTATACACTGCTTCGACGTCGGACAAGACCACCAGCTTCGATGTCACCGTGACTTTGTCATACGAATGCTCATTGAAGTCGTGGACTGAATCGGCGAGCTGCACCATGAGCGCGGGTTTCAGTGGAAGTGACGATGGCGCGACGTACGCTTCATCGACGTCGACCAAGTCTACCTATGAGAACCCGACTAGCAGATTCTATTCCCTTGTTGTCACGGGGGGTGTCAAGTCGTTCACCGAGCCCGCCGCTACGAAGACCCCTGATGCTGCTGCTGGTGTCGGGGCTCCTGTTGCGGCCATGATTACGGCGGCGCCTGTTGCGGCCGCTGCTATGGTTGCTGCGGCTTGGGTCTAGTATCGACCAGTGGAAGAATTAAACTGGTTATGGAAAATACTCTAGTCATTAATGGTCTTAATGTGGAAGGATCAAACGATACTTGCGGTAGCACTGCAGTTGCTACATAATAATGAAGTTGTCGGTTGCTTGTTACTTTTACGATGGTTATCCGTCGCTCCTTGTATACCCAGAGTTATCAAATAATTGAATGCTGTTACGGATGCATGCTCCGACTTTTTTTGAATACTGTTATCTGACTGAAAGTATGATTAGAACAATTGCAAGAGGCTTGAAATTCATCTAACCTAGATACTGGCACAGGGGAACCGTAGTAACTGCCACCATGATTCGCAAAAGTAGGATAGTAAAGCAGTAACGCTCGTCATGCTTCCCTGGCAACATCATACATCTAAAGCGCTGATGCGTATCAAAGAAGCAAGCAGAGAAACATCTTTGAATCGATACTAGTTCCAAGTACAATAGCAGTGGCCCCAATGGCCTAAATGCACACCCACACGAGACACCAGATTCTGCCACCTCTTCTCCAAAGCGGTCAAAAAACATACAGAATGCTGACTGGTCATTTCGGGGTTGTTGAAAAATATATCCGTCTATATCCGCCTATATCCGCACTTTTCTTCGCGAGGTCGCTGCGGTTCTGCCGCATTTAGCGGTCGAATAAGCGGTCATATCTGGCAATACTGTGCTTGGGTCTATACTACAGCACACCCATGCTGAACTCTCTGATGTTCTCTAAGCTGGTAGCTATGCCTGGAGGTGTCCCCAGGACCTTTTTCCCTTTATACAGACATAATCCGAGCTACTTCTTCTCGCGCCATAGAGAACGGTCGCGCTTTGGCGTACTTCTCAACATCATCTATCAACACTTTCCCATTCTCACCCGACATAGCGGCGGCTTTTGCCTCGTCACTGGCCCAGGTCACATTGGCTTGGATGCAGTACGGTGCGTCTGGAGGGAATGTGAAAACCTCCCATGAGAGGAGCACATCCTTGCCACAGAGCCTTTCAGCTAAGGGTATGTGGACGTTGATGAAATAGTCCAGGTTGACTTCTGCTTCGCGGGGGTATAGGACCTATGGTATCTATCAGTGACGTTATAGACGTAGAAAATGGTGGGGGAGAAGGTACTGCGTATGTAATGGGCATTTTCGGGAAATAGAAGCGTTCGGTAGGGTTGGAGTACGAGCCGAGGTCAAGAGTAATCAGGTAAGAATTGAGGGAGGAGACTTTTGTAGTGCTATCGTTGTTCCGCTACATTCCCAATGTGGATAGGTTTTGGACTTAGGGGTCTTGTGAGTGAGACAATCGATTTGGTTTGACAATAATGCAGCAGGACAGAAAAGGCTATCATCATGGTGGCTTTGCTGCTTGTATTTCCAAGTAACATCCCTATGATCGGCAACGTGCTAGTCCGTACATCATACCGCAAGTCATGGATGCATGAAGTTCCCGGTAGCCACGGAAGTGCAGAAGACTATGTTCGAGTTTGGGTGGTGCTGAGAAAAACAGGTGATTAAATGGAGGACGCAAGGGTATTGTTTAGGCACACTAGGTCCCAAGGAGCGACAGTGCGTTTGGAGGAAGGATACGATGGAAGGTACGAGAAGAGGAAACTAGAATGGCTCATTCTTCACTTACCCCGTTCTTTGTGTGTAAGCGTCTCTGCGTGCTTTTGGCTGGGCTCCTTGCATGCATCATAATGACAATCTACTATCACAGCTTTGGGAGGGATTACCCCATCAATCAGCTGCAGAAGACAATCATCTCTCTTCCCAGTAATTGTTGTTGTATACTCTACTAAATGGCTGTGTCTCCGCTAGTATTCCACTTAGAGTTTACATTATGGGTCATGAATGTTCGTAGCATTAGAAAGACTTCAAATCCTCAGATTGAGATCTGGGAAAGCTCGCTTAGCACGTTCAGGCAGAGTCTCGAGGAAATGCCCCCATTCGAGACGACACTGATCACAGAGCTGCACACCCCCGAAACAATGATCTCTTTGAGCACCGTAGACCTCACGATATATACACTCAGGGCAATGTTGGTTGTCGGCCCTATCAAGATAATCCGCCAAACCACGGAACATAAACTCATCGCTCCTCTCCATAGACCTGTTGTAATGCTCAAAATCTTCGGCTATACTGGTCTTTCTCCTGTCGATACGATTCCAAAGCTTCTAATTGAGACGTGTCTGGTTGATGACCTCTTTGGTCTCACTCTTGCCCACTGTAAGATCCTCCTCGACGAAGCGGTACCGCCGCATCATTATATGGATGGGGCCACCAAAACTGCGCAAGAAGTTGGTGACAGCAAGATGCCCAGGTGTACCAGCCATTGCCAGATCTATCGCCCAGAGAACTTGTCGTGCTCGGTGAAAGGCCTCAATCCTATGGTCTTCTGGCATGTAGGCAAAGGTACTGTTGGTTTCTCCCTCAGAGCGATGTTTGTAGAAAGCAACGGCATCATACATAGTATCACCGATCTCGCAGAAAATATCATATTGCGCATCAGTGAACCAGATGTCAAGGAGATCGTTGCAAGCCAGGGCAGAAGCTATGGTGAATCGAGCCAGGGCATCGCAGTCTCGCATCCGAAACCACTGCTGTGGTGAATTGACAAGAGCGTTGACATACCGGCGGAATAGTTCGCTGTTGGCGTGACTAACTTTCTGAGATGTAATGAAAAGAAAGGCTTTATATTCGCGGGCCATATCAAGATGCCCTGGGGTGCCGTGGAAGAGTTCATCCAAAATTTCATCGAGATCATAATTGAGGATTTTGGGTCCAGCAGTGATGTCGACCATGCTACCCTGAAACTCGGCGATGACCCCCATGATAATGATGCGCATAAATGCAATATAGCGCTCCCAGTTCGTGTACTGTGGGATTACAGACCGTGAGTACTCCCAAGCGCACGCCAGGACCTCGTCCTTGGTATTTTTTGGTAGGTCAATCCCATCAAGGTCATGGGCGATGTCATCGGGGTAGTACCATTCGTTTTCAATCGTCATCTTGGCTTGCCTTGCACAATGCTAGCTTTGGACCTTTTGATGTTCAGATAGATATTCTGACTTGCTCAGCCTTTAACTAGTACCCTCTATTAGTACCCTCTATTTACCTGAAGGTTACAGTCACACGCCAGATTTATAGAGATACTGGTGCATTGTCTCGACGCGTATGGGTCTATGTTTTCTCTTGCAAACCAGCCTCATGACGTGGGTTACCCTTTCTAGTTACATACATTAACCGCATTTGTTCCGACTCTTGCTGGCACGGAAATGCTGTCCTATATGTGCCTGGCAAATATTATACGAGCAACTTGAGAGATATCCCTTGCGTTCTGTTACAGATCGGGGTCCTCTCCGAAGATATACATGATTGAGGTAGCTTTTAGAATGACAGGAGAACTAGCTACTCTAGGCCTTTAGGTTCGCGTGAAGTTGTTCTGAATGCCTGGTATACCATTGATCTTTGATTTAGCTTGAAGTTTCATGTTCATTCAGTAATTGATTGCAATTATACGCTTGCAGAATGTGCCTAGTAAATGACTTCTTGATTGTAGTGCTGACTATGCCATCATACTAACGATGTTGAAGATCACCTTGCTGCTGAGGGTTCTGCAACATCAGACGGCCGCAAGAATCCATGCAGGTTATGCACCATGAAACCCACGATAATAGCGTAACTCTGACCGGGTCTTCATCATCATGCCGAAGGATTTTCTTGGAATGCTGCTGATAAGCCACCCTGCCAGATTGAAAGCTAACCGTCTGAATATCCAGTCTATTAGTCTATTGTGGTGTGTCGATCGCGATGTGTCAATCATGTATCCCGCGCGTCTCCATACCCTCCGCTCCACCACACCATTTTGTGTAGAATGGCATGACGTAAATAGGTTACCCCAATGAGCAGAGTGCAGATGTGCACGACGGGTTATAGGCTAGATGCACAGATATCGGCTCAGATATGTATGCAGAAGCATATTCATATCAAAATCAGTTGAGAGATGATGTCCTATGCTAGGTATAGGGAAATCACCTCTTTCGCTCTCCACCGCGTTGACTGAAATACCTGCTTTCGTACCATCTCCCATCACTTCAACTATTCTGAGACAAACTACACCCTCACCATGGCTTTCTATAATCTTGCCGCCTTGACAGCATTCGCCCTTCTTGGATGGTATGCCCTTACTTCCATTCTAGCGTGGTATCGACTCCGCAAGTTTCCAACGCCCAGCTGGCTAGCCCATTTCTCCTACCTCTGGCTCGGGAGGTTGACATATAGCGGAAAACAGTATTGGGTACACCGCGAGCTACATCGGAAATATGGCCCGCTGGTTCGGATTGGTCCGAACGAGATCATGACCGATGACCCGGACATCATCCGCTCCATGTCATCAACTCGAAGCACATTTACTCGCGGCGAATGGTATCTAACTGGGCGGTTTAACCCATACTACGACATCCTGTTCACTATTCTAAGTAATGACGGACACAAGAAGGCACGAGCACGTGTCCATGCAGGCTACTCCGGTCGCGAGACGGGGGTTGCCTTGGAACATGGGGTCGATCGTCAGGTAACCCGATTAACTGATTTGCTACGGCAAAAGTACGCTGTCCCTGGGGATGATGCGCCGCTTCTAAACATAGTCGATATAAGCTCCTACTTTACCATGGATGTTATTACAAAGCTGGCCTTTGGGCAAGAATTCGGCTTTCTCCAGGCGGAGAAAGATCGTTATGGCTTCTTCAAAGAAGTGCATTCTCTGTGGCCGCAAATGTCTACAGTGGCAGATGTTCCGTGGATTCGGAGGATTATTTTCTCAAAGCCGTTCCTGAAACTGTTAGGTCCACGCCCCACGAACTCTCATGGCTTCGGTGCGTTGATGGGGTATGTACAGCTCACTTGTGTGTCGACTTAAACAATGTACTGACAACCTGACAGAGTTGCTCGTGAACATGTGCGGGAGAAGTTCTCTACTCTGGACAATAGCAAAGGGGATATGATGGTATGTTGCCATGTAAAGCAAAATTTCACGATAGACTCGCGGTATAACAGCGATGTAGGAATCTTTCATCCGCCATGGACTGACTCAGGAGGAGTGTGAAGCCGAGGGACTCTTCACAATCATCGCCGGGACTGAAAGCACCGCGTCCACTATAAGATCCATCTTGATCCACACCATAAGCTCTCCTGTTGTCTACTCAAAGCTTAAGAACGAGGTTCTCGAAACACTTAAGAGGAGGTCTATTAGCAGCCCTATTAGCAACAAAGACGTCAAAGAACTCCCGTATCTTCAGGTAAGATTCTTCTATCATCCCCAATTTACAAGGCCCCGACCAAGCTGATCTGAAATTGGTGATTAGGCCGTCATTTGCGAAAGCATTCGCATGCGGCCGCCCCTCCTGGGACTCTTTCCCAAGGTTGTGCCCTCGGGTGGTGTTGAATATCATGGACGGTTTATTCCGGAAGGTACTAATATTTGCATGAACGCATCATCTCTCCTACATTCTAAATCACTGTTTGGAAATGACCCGGAGGTCTTCAGACCTGAACGTTTTATGGACTTAGATGAAGATACTTGCAATGAGAGGAGAAGAAACCTCGAACTGGCATTTGGCCATGGACAGAATCAATGCCTGGGCAAGCATATTGCCTTTATGGAGTTTGCGAAGGTAACATTCGAGGTGCGTATCCTTCTACTCGAGACCAGTTAGGCACCGTTTGCTTACTAGTCTTGTAGTTATTCCGCAATTTCGATTTTCAGACAGTGAACCCCTGGCGAGTGAACCATGAGGTGCAGAGCTATGGTGCTTTTCTCGAGTCGAATATGAAGTTTAGGGTAACTGAAAGTGGAGTGTGATTAACTAGTCGGTGTAAGTAATGCACAAGGGAGAACGATCCGTCGCTCGACTATGAGATAGAACCTTTACATAGGCATCTACAGTCTTGTTACAGAGATAGTATTGTCTTGGATTTGAATAAGTTACAAGCAATATGGCGCCATTCGCAGTTAGACTTACCACAGTAGAGAAACAAATTACTGGAGAAATGCATATCTAGGTTTCATGAAAAATGTAATCATCATAATTTGAAATTGCAACTTTGTTTCTTGAGGGATCAGGTGATACTACACAGGTCCCCTTGCAGAAAGAGCCAACATACCTGTCCCACCTTACCTGTCAGTAAATCATCGACTGAACATGGCATAGGCGATAGCAAGAAAGATACGCAGAGATGCAAGTGCAGACGACCCTTTTGGAAGTATGCTGCATTCTTCTAGGGCACGAGAGACACGTAGGGTGGATAAATGACTGCAGAACATTACTGATAATGTGCACTACTGCGATTGGGGCGAAGGAAAGATAGGAGAGAAGGTGGGGGCCTGGAGTCTGTATGACGACCGTCATTGATTCCAACGGTGGCACCATCAAGGCTGCTGTATGCTGAAGACCCGACCTGTCCAATAATACTACGACGTGTGACCTTGCTCTTTCCAGAGAAACCAACGGTCACCATTGAATGGACCGAGTATAGGGATGAGGATGACGTTTTCTCTTGGACGTACTCGTTCGGCGCATCGCATCTTTACGGCATCTGAAGTCTAAAGAAGCAAGATTTGGTCGATTAAGGTGTGGTGGAAATATGCACCTTACCCATACAGGTGAATACACTCAGCGCTGCATAGGGTTATTCCAGTTGCTTGGAACTGGCTGAGGTAGACGAGCGACTGAAGATGTAGGAAAGCAGGGGCCATCGTCATCTGAATCAAACATGGGCCCTTCCACTCGGCAGTGGGCTGCGTGTTTACGTATGGGCCGTGGTATATGCAACTGTCGGATTTCGGAAATGACGAGCCCGAAGGTTCTGTCAAATTTTATGGTGTATCGTAGAGTATGGGTAACTTCATCGGAGCATATAATTGTTACTGCGTTGGTCAGCCTGCATATGGTAATGCTGCTCAATGACGATGCAGTAGACCGGTTCGTCTCTGTAAGTAATTGACTACTCCCCACAAGAAGGACTTGCATAGCATTCTACAGGATGCAAAGTGGTCAACATTTCCATGTTAGACATTTCGAACATAAGTGTAGTTAGCTACCCCATAGCACCCCCCACCCGAAAAAGCCATTGCATACTCTTCTCAGAAGTAGTTCAGTATGTTCTTTGTTATCCAGACGATCGTACTTCTCTACGTGCTCTACCTTGTGATCTCCGTGATCCGCACCATCTTCTTCCATCCATTGGGACGCCTACCTGGTCCCAAGCTCTGGATTACCTTTCCATTCTTTCAACATATCGCAGCAGTTCGTGGACAATTAGATCATGAATTGCGACGCTTGCACCAACAGTACGGGGAGGTAGTCCGCTACGGACCAGATGAGGTATCATTCACCACCGCGTCCGCCTGGTCGACCATCTACGGCCCCGGTATTGAGCTCCCCAAACCAATATATGCGGTGTACAGCAAGTCCGGGATCCTAAACGCCGACCTAGAGGATCACGCCCGAATCCGCAAGGCCATGGCGCCGGCGTTCTCGCCAAAGGGGATCCAGGCACAGGAGCCGATTCTGATGCACTATATTGACCAGTTGATGAAGCAGCTACGCAAGGTAGCTCAATCGGGGCAAGCCGCTAATATAACAAAGTGGTATAATCTGGCGGCTTTTGACCTGATTGGGGACTTGACATTTGGAGAGTCTTTCGGTGGGCTCGAAGAGGGAGAGTATCACTACTGGATAGCCCCAATCCTGGACTACGTGCGTATGGTTCCGCTGTTAAGGGCCAGAGACCTGTATCCGTGGCTCGTACGGTGCATCATGGCCATCCTGCCGTCGAGTTTGAGGGAAGCTCAGAAACGGCAGGATGCTCACACGCGGGCTGTGGTACAGAAACGAATGCGCCGTGAGACCCATCGCCAAGATTTCATGGAGTCCATGCTGCGGCCTCGAGGGGAGAAAGGGGAGCTCAGTGTGACCGAGCTTGAAGCCAATGCTAATATCCTCATCGCTGGCGGGAGTGAGCCGACGGCAACATTACTGACGGGGCTAACATACTGGCTACTACGGACCCCGAAGGCCCTGGCGCGGGCGACGGAGGAAGTGCGATCCCACCTGCTGACGGAGGAGGAGATCACATTTGTCAACTTGACGACACGACTTCCATATTTGCAAGCATGCATTACCGAGACCTTTCGCATGTATCCTCCAGTGCCTACAGGACGGCAGCGGGTAACGCTGGCGACGACCGAATTCGCAGGGCATCAGATCCCTCCACAGGTACGTATGCTTGCCTCCATTCCCTGCGCCAAGATTTAAGCAAGACTGACGACGGACCAGACCAAGGTAGCGGTCCATCAACTAGCAGCATACCAGTCGGATCAGAACTTTCATGACGCGGGTGAGTTTCACCCAGAGCGATGGCTACCCGAGGCAAAAGATCCCTCATCCCCGTTCTACCACGACCAGCGGGAGGTGCTGCGACCATTTTCTGTGGGGACCCGCGACTGCATCGGCCGTCAATTGGCGTACCAGGAGATCTGGGGCATCATGGCACGGGTGTTGTGGCATTTCGATCTAGAACTGGTGCCGGGGCAGACCAAATGGAATGTGCAGCGGTCGTTTACAATTTGGGAGAAGGGAGCGCTAGAAGTGCTCCTGCGTGAAAGACGCCCAGCCGGTGTCGATGTACCAGATAGCGCGAGGGTCTCCTGAGAGGGACTTGTTGCTCGGATAAGCATCCGATCTTTGCGAAACTCATTGGGAGACCTATCTTCCAGAGAACAGGGCATACTGGATGGGAAGGGCAGAAAGGCGTACATACGTATGACCAAAGAATGAAAGTCAGACTTCAGCGTAGATAATGGTTTTCCGCTCCATCTGAGCCATTGGGAAGGGAGTGTGGTGGGGGTTAATCGAGTAATTGACTCGAGGGCTAACGATCATCGTATACTATTCTTAATTGGGATTTTTTCATGGCCATCGGTCCAGTTCGGATTTCTGACCTGCCATCTGTGATATCTCTCCGATGCAATCAGAAAAGTTTAATATTAGGCGTTCGTATGGCCATGGTCGGTGATAGCTCAGTGTTCTTCGCAGCAAGTTGTCAATCACAGCAGTTGGAGGGATGTCGCATTTGAGGAAAAGCGAGACGACGATGTAGGGTTACACTGCATATACATATCTTCATAATAAGGATCCTGGAAGAGGTGTGAAGAAATGAAAAGGGTGGGGGGAAAGAACTGCAAGGAGTACGTTACGCAAGTTCTCATCAAGTCAGTGAAAGGCGCAAATCTATGCTTTTAATGGGTAGACCCCTCAGGAAAAGAGTATCCCATGGTCATAACAATTTCAAGCGGGGTCTATCCTTCCCCCCCTTCATTCTCAAAGTATCCACAGCAGACTGTCGCATCATATTCATTTTCACAATGACTATCCAACACCAGGCTAAGAATGAAATTCCTAGAGTCTCCGGCAAGCGTGATCTCGACAGAATTTGGCCGACCACCAAGGAATATGGGACTGCAATCATCGAGGAGTTTCTTCCTCTGGACGTCGTGCGGCGCTTGAATCTTGACGCCGACCCCTATGTCGCAATTAAACCAATTTCGAGTGCCTCGGAAAAAGATCACCCTAACCATGGGATATCCCCAACGTCCAAGTTTGTCAATACTTTGAGTGAATTCTCGCCCACCTTTCGGAACGATGTCTTGAACAACGAGGCTCTGAATAGAGTATCCGAGGATGCGTTCAGAGTATATGGTGATTACTGGCTTCTACTGGGTGCGATAATGGAATATGCACCAACTCAACCAGCTCTATCATTCCATAGAGACATGAGCTTCAGCCATCCTATCGTTGACTATCTGAAGCACGACGCACCACCCACTTCAATCATTTTTATCGTCGCCCTAACACCTTTCACGACCGAAAATGGTGCTACCCACGTCATTCTGGGCAGCCATAAGTGGCACTCCATTAATGGTGCCACGATGAATCAGGCTGTTCGTGCAGTGATGAACCCCGGAGATGCTCTGGTGATAATCGATGGCATGGTGCATTGCGGAGGCGCCAATATGACAGAAACTGAGTCTCGCCGTGTACTTTCCATCACTACGGGCATCAGCCAGTTCACTCCGCTAGAGAGTAACATGACCCTCCCGCGTCCCATCGTGGAGAGTCTAACTCCATTAGCTCAGAGGCTTCTTGGATGGGCAAGTCAGCGATCCTCTGCGCCACGCGATATGGGGTTGTTGACCATCCGGGGTAGGTCAATGGAAGAAACGTTAGGATTGCGATCGGACCAGCCACTTGCATAGTATGGGTGAGAAAAAAGTAAAAGTCAGTCATCCTGGATATCATACCGCAATATGATCGTTGTGTTCTCATTTCCCTTCCTCGTAGAAAGCCATACCCGGTGCAGTAGTAGTGAAGCATAGGACATATTGGCGATGGAGCCATCTTGATTTCTTACTGCCTCAGGCATTGGGTAATCTCCTCGGAATATGGCCGAGTTCCGAATGGGGCAATATGATGGCGGTGCTAGTGTGGCGTACGTGAATATGTGGCTGAGTATAACCGGAGATGGGAGATAGCTCAGTAAGGACTTTTACAAGGTTACACAGTCGGCTGGTTAAGACTTACTGAGGCATACTTGATGGAGGCAATCTGAAGAGTCAAATTTCGACAGCATTGGCTGAAGCGACCGGCAGATGTCTTATCCTGTGTGCAGAAAAAGAAGAGGCATACTACAGCAACAAACGGATAAATGAAGAGAAAAGCACGAAAGTATCCATTATGCAGTGACTAGATATAGAGTCGAGGGTATCTTTTCAGATGTAGCAATATACTGACATACATACTTCGAGGCAATTACGCCCACTTTCCGATCAGGGCCATGATGCCCGCCCCCAACAACGTACAGAACACCATGTACAACAGCTTGGAGCGACGACGAGTACGACACGGGTCGAAAATAAAGTCGCGTGCCAGCAGTTCCACCAGAGCACTGTAGATCAGCACACCTGCTGAGATAGCATTGAACACTCCCTGCACGATCAAGGATGTCTTCGAGCCCGGGTTGTAAGCAGTGCGCAAGCCCAGGCCGATCGCAATCGAGATCGGAGTGGTCAGGCCATACGCCAGACACAACAGGTGAGGGAGCCACTTGCGATGTCCAAAGGGAATGGCGGAAAGTCGGGCACCGATACCCAGGCCCTCGAATGACTGGTGGAAGACCAGCACCGGGTAGAGGGTCGAGAATTCAGAACCGGTCACGCCAAGGTTGAGGCCGATGATGACCGAGTGGAAGATGATACCAAATTCGAGGATCAAGAAACCGGCAATCTGTTGTCTGAAGGAGCGTTCGCCTTGCTCGGACGAGGTTTCTGCGGAGGTTGCCGTAGGCGAGGTCTTTTCTGCGGACATGCGACCATCTTCGGGGTTGGGGTGGATATGCGCGCTGGTCGGATCACCGGAAATAAAAGCGTCCGTGGCGTTCTCCTCTCGGTGCATGCCATACTTGTTCTCGACGTAGACCTCGGCGGCGAGATCTAGAAGGAAGATAAGAGTGATGGAGCCGAGCACAATAGCGGCACACCAGGAGTATAGGGACCAGTTTCCGGAGACGCCAACGCAGGTCTTGGGTCCGATGCGCTTGTAGGCAGGGTCAAGCAGATGAACAAAGGCTGTGGCTAGGATGACACCCGTACCGAAGTAACGGGCGAAGATGTAGACGTTGTGAGGGATCTTCCAGCGGGGCATGCTCTTAGCCACGACGGGGAAGAAGGTGAAGGCTGTGGAGACGAAGAGGATAACAAAGATGGATGAGATGCGGGCCCCCATATGACCGTTGTAGTCATTTTCAGAGATGGCATAGTAGCACAGCACATCCTCTTTGCTGGCCGTGTGGAGGTTCACCTCGGATGCATTGAAAATAGCCATGGCGACCAGATGGGGAGAGGGGTTGGAGGAGAGCAATGAAGTGAGGAATGACTGGAGAGAGCATTATGAAAACCCAGCTGTAGATGGATCATCTTATAGCATACTGAGTGAGGACCTTGGGGTGTAGCTGAAGGAGATGGTGGTGTCTAGGGGAGTACCTGGCTTGACGATGGCGAACCAGGTGCCCTCCATTGTGGGCCGCAATAATCTCGACAAGCGTAGGCTGACAGGGATAGCCATTAACTAGGGTCTGACTGGATGACTAGCCAGATTTGCCTCGCTCGACTCTTAACAGGATGCAGACATCCTCAATCATCTCAGCAGTTCATGTCCTTTCAATGGACCATCGCGTAGAAGCTCTGCATCTCTAAAGAGCCATTTGATGACATTCCTGGCGATATCATTCGCAAACAAATTGGTAGGGCTGAGCAGCATCACCTCGTGAGCCGGAATGACAAGCGCCCTATAGGGCTGATGGGGATGTCGCTTATCTGCAGGCCAATCAAGCTGGCGAACAAAATGCGTGAGATGCAGCCCGGGTTAAGCTGTCTCCCAAGGTCCTCGCGCGGATTCCACTTTCCAAGGTTTGGGTCACTCCATGGTTCCGCCCTCGTAGGCCTCACTGGCTGAATTTTCCTAGTTGGCGAGAGTGCCGCCCCACGCTCAACCCATGCAGTCAGACAAGGTCGATTGTGTGTTTTTGCATCCACACGCGGTCCGGATACACATCTCCACCCGAGGGCTCGGATCCGAGGCCAATGAACGACCACCTGCTGGTGTCGTGGGATCTTAGCCGCTATGAGAATGCTCCAGCGTGGAGGGGAAGGGGGGGGGAGGCTATTGTTATATTTTTTACCTGCCATGTTCACACCCGCGGTCGGACAGGGCATCTAAGAGTCGGCTGCATGAGCTCTCATGTTCGAGCGTTGCACGGGCGCATACATTCCAGAGTAGAACAATCTGCATTGTACCACTGCGGTAATTAGTATCGTATGCTAAGCTTTAGTGGTCTGACGTGTCTCAGTTGTTGTGGAGCAATAGCGACAAACGTTGGCGACACCTTGAATATATACATCCAGTTGTAGTTAGTGCTTTCGGAGGGAAGTGACAGTGGTGGATTACTCAGAAGGCTTTCCTTGGCCACTGCAGTGGCAGGACATGCTCCAACGCATAAAGGAAGTTCAAGTCTTGTGACCGACCGGCTTGCTGACTCTTGGGACTCGGCAGTGAATTATAAGGGGCTGGCTCTCCCAGTATCCATCTACCCAGCTACATGGAACCCCAACAAGCCATAAAGACAAATTAACCGGCGGCGTTTTTGCACTGTTTGGAACAACAGTATAGCTCGTTCCACACCGTGGTGAGATTCAAATTGATGATGAGAAAGAGCTAACATGCTGCCATGCAAAGCCTAGGCCTGTAAGAGGGAGAAAGTGGCTACCCCTGAAGGTGGAGGATTTGGGTGGTACTTTCGTTCGTCCGCTGGTGATGTGACTGACTCGAAGAGCGGTCTTTCCGAGGAGAAAGTGATAGAAATATCCTCAAGTCTAACTAGACTAACGCCTTAGACTCGCATCAGTTTACCCAAAGTGGTGGCTGCCGCTGTCTCCCCCCTGACTCGGCACTTCACAGCTTTGCCATCGCCGAAGATATTTACGTGAATCCATGACCATCCAGCTTCCCTGCATTTGATTCCTAGTCACCTGGTCTGCGGGAAAAGAGGGGGTATCACATTGACCCGAGCGTCAAACGTTTCCAAAGCCTACAGCGTCTTAGCTCATCGACCCAAACACCGCTGTTGAACGAAGTCGGAAGCCCGCGGAGGAGACTGGAGCTCGGGGTTGGCCGTTTACGAGGCTACACAGCCGGGTCTGGACTTCTTAGCCCTCTGTTTCAGGCGTAGGTGGATGCATGCGGTGCTGAGGGACCTATTATCTGGAACGAACTTATGGTCGGGTAGCATTATGCATTGGCTGGAGAAAAGGTATTATAGCCCGTGGCTGCCCTCAAACTGGCCGAGCTACTCAGTTTCTTTGTCTGAATTGTCTTGGCTGATGTGATACGAAGAGTTTATTGAGCGCTTGGACGCCCTCGTTGATGTTTGGGTCGGAGCATGGGCCTCGGATAAGGTTGATCCCTCCCGTGCCTGGGGGGGGGAGGGGGGGTGTTGAAGGGAAATGCTGGGTCACTCCTTTCCCTTTCTGAGATTGAGCTTCCCAGAAATTATGGCCAGGCTGGAATCTAATCGTCCCATGGCACACTCAAGGGTGACACAACCGAGCCTACCAAGAGTCCCCGAGAAGCGGATCTTCATCGACGAGGATGCGCTGGTCCCCGATAGTCTTCAAAGACCCACTGTTAGATCTAGGTCAAACCCAACACCTTAGATTCTACCGACACTTTCTCTCAAGAACTTCCAGCAATATCGAGCTACCATCTGCAATATATTTGGAATCGGAGCTGTCAACTATGATCCGGCTGGGACTCCGAGGCAGCTCCAAATTAAACTTTCTTTGTCTCCGCCAGACTGGGATGCTCGAGGTCTCCCGGACCATCACCTGAATATAAACCCCCTGTCCAGTACCCGTTTCCCCGTTGATGAGTCCAGGCTTGTCCCGTAAAGCTTCACAATGGGCAATTCTGGGGGCGATGCCGCCATCATCGTGGGGTACCTGCTTGCGACGCTGGCAATCAGCATCATGGGCCTCCGGCTCTATATGCGCCGCTATCGACGACAGTCCTTCGTCATCAGCGACTACATAACCCTTTTCTGCTGCCTTCTTTTGGTCTATATCATGAATATCACTCTTGTTTTCGGGACGCTTGGTAACGTTGCCGTCACATATATGGCGGGCGAAGTACCGAGTCGCGCCGATATTAAGCGTTCCCAGATGAGCAGCAAAGTCACTTATGCTGGTGCGATCATCTACTTCACCTAGTAAGTAAGCATCCGAACACGCGGATATGCGTGGCACACATGATGTATAGTACTGAGACCGTCGAGTATTTGGTGCCAGAAGGCCGTCGTTCTCTGCTTCATCAACCGACTTCTAGGGGTGCTTCCGTGGCCATACATATGGATTCGCGTTATGTGGGCCATACTATGCGTCACCTATATAACGTTGCTCCTTCTCTTCCTCACCGTATGCAGACCACTGAGTCTGTACTTCCAGGTCTATCCCGATCCAGGTGCGTACTTCGCGAGGATTAAATTATTTTGGTTTTAGTCAGAATATCTAACCTGTACACTCTTCGATTCCAGGTCCTTGTATCAGATCGACATACCACATATCGGCCCATGCCGTTTTCAACTGTGTCACCGACTTAATGCTGATTATTCTTCCGATTCACTGGCTTCTTAAGATTAGGCGTCCCTGGTACAAGTGAGTTCGAATGTTGACACCAACGATTCTCATCCATACTAACCGATGCGAAGACGGGCCCAGCTCATTGGCCTCTTCTCCATCGGCATAGTCCTGGTGGTGATTTCTGCTCTTCGTTTCCCATTCCACCAAGGTTCACTCGACGCTTCCTTGCAGACAATATTGAGCCCCATAGAGGAACTTCTTTCGGCCCTAGTTGCCAACGTGCCCACATTGTACAGCCTCCGACGGGCCAGGCAGCCAGAGACGCCCCCACACCCTACACAACCACCCCCGAAGAAATTCCCACGAGCGGTCGACAGCATCATAATCATGCAGACTGTGGATGTAGAGGAATCCCGTACGGATGATCAGACACTCTCTACGACAATAACCGATCGAGCGTTATCCACTACTATGGCCGATCGGGACCTGAACGACGACAGCGACGGACACCTTGTTCGCAATGGTCCGGAATGAAGCAATTTGGGAGCATGTAGCATATAGAAGGATCTGACATGATCTATGCATAGTATATAGAACGAGTTGATGTATATAGCGAAGACGGTGGACCCACTTTAATAGCCCATAGTGCACATCCGGGTCCGCCATGCGCAGTGCCCTCTGGACAGGGAGATTTTCGGGATACCCAGTAGCTACTGAAGTTGGAGCAGCAGCAATTATGAGAAGATACAGTTACTCAGCTTGGTGTACCTGATAGTTTAGAAATATTATACCATTTCCGGAATACGTCAGTCAATGACCTACACCAAAGCAGTGCAAATAAGTACTAGGCTGAAAACAACTATTACTATATATTGTATATCAGAAAGTGGAACAACCCTATCATCCCCCATACAAATGCACACTCGAATTCTTCGTCCACACCCGCAACCTCTTCCCAAAAAGATACATCGGCACGCCCAACACCAACGGCCCAAACGTCAGCGCCAACTGCACCATAGCAGGCAAAAAATACCCCAACTTCCTCTCCGCCAACGGCGGCACCCAATAACTCATACTAAACCCAAAAGTGTTCCTAATAATTGTGATGACTGCCATGATCTCCCCAGAAACAGGTTTATACGAATCCACCGCATAAGCAACAGCAATGCTACAAATCGGCGAGACAACCAGTCCACTGAGTCCGAACCCGAACACCAGCAGAACAGGCCAAGGCCATAAATCCAGGATAGCAAATGCCCCTACCAACACCGACAGAAGTAGTAACGCAGCAAATGGAATAAGACCCAATAATCTCATCTCCGCCTCATAGACACCCTTGTTCCGCTCCGTTGCTTTCACCGCAACCCAGTCAGACAATGGCCCCGCCGTGACAAGCCCGATTATGCAACCGATCAGAAAGGCGAAGTTTGAGTAACCCACCTGCGAAGCGTTGAAATTATAGGGCGGGGCACCGAGGACAGAAGATTCAGTGAGGTTCCAGAAGAGAACAAAGTTCGCGACGCCGGAGATGGCCATCGCGGCCCAGAATATGATTGGGTAGAGACATATGCGGAATGGGGTGAGGGTGTCTCGCAGGATGAAGGCTTTCCATTGCGGGTCGGGGGGTTGCCATAGCTTGTATTGGGCGCTGCAAGGGGATCCGGTCCCGGGTTTGGGGGGTAGTGGTTGGGTTGAGTAGATTTCTTTTGAGTCTACGGTCGGGCTGGTGTCTGTTGGGGATCCTTCGGTCTCTGGTTTCAGAGATGTGTGCGCTGTATGTCGGGGGGTTTTGGACGCGGGATCACGGTGGTATTTCGTCTCCGGGCAGAAGAGAAGGATAGTGACGATGTTGAAGCAGGTCATAGCCATTGATAGCCAGAAAAAGCTACGCCATCCGAATCTGATATTCCATGAGTCAGCCATTCAGACTTACTCTAATGCCAACTGAGCGTGATAAATGGCCGGGGGACAGTACCTTTGCGTGATATTCCCTGAGATGACCGGCCCGAGGAAAGAGCCAAACGAGGCCGCGGTACTATAATTGTTCTGTCAGTTAAATAGCCCTTGTGTTTTGTCAGTCTTCCGACTTACAAAAAGGCTACGGTCCATCGTCCTCGCTCATACAGGAAGAAAAGATCTGCAACTGTCTGCATGGGTACGGTCTCGCAGACCGCAGCCCCTGCTCCGTTCACGACTCGAGCCACAATGAAACTCGTATAGGAGGAGGCGAGAGCCTCCCACACATAAGAGGCGACGCTAAGCGACAAGAAAGCGATGAAAACAAAGCGACGTCCGAAGATATTGGCACAAGGAACGACGATTAAATTGACATAGGCAAACGACAGGATACACACGCCGGTGATGAGCAGAAGTTGGGTGTTATTCAGATCGAAGGTATCGGAGAAGGCAGGAAACATTGGGCTCATGGATAATGCTGACGCTGTTGATACGAATGTGGTCACGAGCTGGGACATTATAGCTAAGTCTGTCATGGGGGAATGATGAGCGTGGCTTATTGCGTGGATTGTTTGTGAAACGTACACTTCCATTTCGGCGCCCAGTTGAGCGGATCGTGGGGATCTTCTGATGGCTGAGGGACGAGACTTATGGAGGTGAGCTGCTGCTGTACATCTAGGCTCGAGAAACACCGCTCACACTATTCCAGTTTTAGATCCATGAACCAGGTGGGGATCCCTATCGTGCATTATCTCGGTCCCCGGGAGATGATCCCCATGCCCTGGGGGTGCGCTTTCTGGCGAGTCCATCTTGCTGCGGGGTGGAGCAACTAGACTGCCTGTTGCGTTGGAAATCTGATGTTGGGAGAATAACAGTATGCAGTCCTTGAGGGGGATCTGCAGCTATGAAGCTTGACTATATCTCAGAGGACCAGGTGAGGCTGAGCTGAGGATGTTAAGGGTAAGCGATGAATGACGCAAGGGGTGGACAAGGATGAGCTGGCGGAATGCAGATTTTCTGTCGATCTTCTCACTAGCGGAATGCAGGGTTGGACAACTATCGATTCCCCGATCCATGATGAGCTGGGTGTCATGCCGTCCTTTCTCCATAGAAAAGCACAGTATCAATATGGACGGGTACCTATGTGTGGGGAGTGCCGGAAAAAGGAAGACAGACTACAAAAGACACTGGCTATATTATGAGCTGAGGATAGGAAGCTATTTCACCGCAGTCTACAGGTAGAGATAATTGTTACGGGGCATCTGTGATGGTTCTCATCGGTGTGACAGTCCGTGGAGGTTGGCATTGCAGACTATCATTGTAAATAACCCGAATGGATAGAGATATGCGGCATATGTAAGTTGCCGGCCAATGAGACACCACGTTTACATTGGATCGTTCAATAGTACTAAACACAACAGCACATCTTCTTGGGCTTATTAGAGTTCGCAACAAAAAAAAAACAATGGACATGGGTCCAATCAATGCCCTTGATGCTAGACAGCTGACTACTGCACGAAATGATTCTGATTAGATTCTCACAATAAGTATTGACGAAGCTCTTCAAACGAGCATGTAACTGAGAATTGGGAGTTATCGAGTTGTCAGCCCGCCTTATCTCGACCCACCATTGGAATGCCACTATCAGGACCAACAATTCCTGTCTATTTCTTTTTTAAAATAACGGTTCACTTTAAGCTTCTCGAGGGATCCCCAGCAGACATCTTTCTCTCCACAACTATGGAACTCTCCTAATCGTGACACTCGCATTGATAGACGATTCAATAACAATTCATGACTCTCGGAGACTAGTCAGATCGTCGTCCGTAGCATCTCCGGTATATCGCTAGAAATGTCCTCATTCGGCTCCGGACGCTCGGACGAAGGAGGATTTCACCTCCTCATCTATCCGTGGTGCCTCAGGATCGATCTCATGGTTACTGTCCGAGAACACGAAAGGCAGAACCAGCCCCGCGGACCACCCTTGCATACCCATCCGCCGTCCGCCATATCTTTGGGGATTCCTGAGGATCTTTGGCTGGCTGACTCTCTCATTTGAACCGAGGCTTTTATGCTATCTAGTGGTTTAATCCTCACGGTGAGTAGGTGACATGACAAATCAACTTCAAGCATCGCACACAATTAGGGCAAGCTCGTCTGTGATCTCGATTCATTATTACAATACTATTTGTCCAATGCAATAAACGCTATTCGCCAACACCTGCAATGCAGTAAATATAAATGAAAAGCTCCAACCACCCTCACATCATCACATCATATCCATTAGTTTGCCGCCCTATCCTCAAAGTGCTGCAACTGTCCGCGGGTACGAATATAATAATGCCCGCTCTCCTCGCGCATATCGACATGCCATCGATCGCGCAAACGCGGAGTCCCCGCCGCTCCCAGCTGCGCTCCAGACCACGCATGCACAGTTCCCGGACTGTTCACAGCTAAAGCGAACAGATTCGGTGGTTCTGTGAAATCTGTTACCAACTGCCCGCGTCCCTGGAAGAGAATGAACCCCAGACACATGATATTTGTCAGGAAGACCACAGCCAGAATGACATAGAACACCTGCTGCCAGTCACTCGTCCGGCCAGACGCATAGCCCGCAGACTGCAGTGTCGCGTTGAATACCTGCACGACAGGAGTATCGAGGCTTGGCTCGGAGTAATTCCAATCGGGAACAAATGGAGAGTACTGACTACCGAGTAGGGCGGTACTCCCTGCTAAGACAGCCAAAGCCTCACTGACCGAGGGAAGTCGAGGATCCAGTGAAGAACTATTAGTGGTGTTATCAAAGCTCGGGACCAACTCCATTAGCGTGCGTTCAATAGCGGCGTCGTCACCCTGGATGCCTGACGCGAGAGTCACCGTGTCGGCCCACTCCCATGCCACGCTTTTCCAATTTATCAGGTACTGATCCTCCGACGTGTTAGGATGTATCCGGTTGTACTGGAGCCTGTCGGCAGCGTCTTCGCAGCGTGAGCTCAAATCGCCGCCGCTCGGATCGACCTGGTACTGCACGGAACAGCGACCTGAAAGCTTCCCGCGCAGTCCGCAGAGGACGTACTTCGGATCGTGACCTGGAGGTGCACTGCCTAATATGTAGATGGAGGTTGTGTTGTCGACTTTGGGGTTCAGAATGGTGTTGTAGGATTTCGGGTAGATGGGGAAGACTGGCGCGCCTTGGTCTTCGCTGAAGCCGAAGAGGTCATCGACGACAGTGCGGTTCGTGTTGATCGAGTATGTTGGTGCGGCGGTTGCCCACGTCGATGCGTTAAAGGGCTTATGGTTGGGCCACTCGGTGTAGATGAGGGGTTTCAGCTCGTCATGCGACATGCCGACGCACATCACATTAATAGCAGGCGATGGGAGAGAGGCTTGGATGATGTACTTGCCCTCTCCAGACATGTCAACGGGCTGTTGGATCTTATTCGCGGGGTTGCGTGCAGCGGCGAAGAGGCCTCCGTGCGGGTAGGCGGCAGTGACATTGTTGACGACGCGACCATGTTGTTCGGATAGGGCGGTTGTGTTGACGATTTCGATCCAGCGACCGGTCACTGTTGTGTTGTCGTATAGCAAGGCATGCGGCTGCGGGCGATAAGGAAGGGCGGTTGAGGTGCTATTTCCAGCTTTCAGCATTTCGGCCCAACCTTGCAGGTATTGATAGTAGTCGTGGTATGAGCGGCCGGCTATCTCCATCTCCAGACAGGTCTCATTCCAGTGTGTCGGGTCAACATCGACTGTGATTGGAGTCTGGCAGGCGTCTTCTAAGTAATAAGGGTTGGAGTATTCGGTGAAGACATTTCCCTGCAGAAGTCGGGGCTGGATGGGGCCCATGACCAAGCTTGGAGAAACTACAGTCGGGAGAAACGCGGACGGTCAGAAAGTAAGTCTCCCATGATTAGTTAGGGGACAGAGTGACCAACCTAGGGCTTCAGCAGCAGTGGTGTACAGCATTGCAACCAGAGCAACAATTAGCGTCAACCCACCAAGTGTCGTCCACCCGACATAGCGCAGCACATCCCACTGCATCAGCAGCGACCCCGGCTGCGTGATCCAGGTTCGCAGCGTCATGTCAGCGATGCTGACACCCTCGGACCCATGCGCGAGAGCCCGCCGACTCAACAGCTGGCCCAGGAATGCAACACAAACTGTGACATAGGATAGCTCGATCGTCTTGGCCAACAGGGCGCTCAGCAAAGATGCGGACGAGGCAGTGAGTCCGGCATTGTTGCCGATCAAACTGCCATAGTAGGGTTTAATACACGCGACGACGAAGAAGACGCCGGACAGGATGGTAGTGTACACGCCCAGTACGATAAGAGTGACGAAGAGACCCGAACACCGACGCCTGGGTTTATTGGTCGGCAGTGGCAGAGGATGAGGTTGATCGCCATGATCGACACCTTTGGGTGGTGTATCGGTCAAGTCACTACGAAACGAATCGCGTGGCCCCGGACCGAGATCGCGCAGATCGATTACGCTTTTATCGTCCTCGCCGGATGAGTCGTCATGTAATCTTGCGTCTGGGATGTTGACATCGGACAGGAGACGAAGCCCATCCGACGACCTGGCAGCCATGGTTGGCTGAGGTCAGATGCAGACAGTTTGGGGGTTTGTTTTTCTTGGAGGGAAAGAGTGAGGAGGAAAGGCTTCCTGGGCCAACGGTTCTTAAGGGGCGGTGCATGGCGGATGAGCATTTAAACCAGCTAGTCCAGCTAATCCCTGTTGTTTTGTCCGCCATATGAGTTGGCTTCAATTTAGTGAATTGGGGGCCATTTGCGATCGGTTGGGGTCCTTGTTGGTGTGAGGCTCGGGTGAAGGGCCCGTCGGGATGCTGGCTGTGTGGGAACCAGGGTCGTGGCTCATTCAGCTGGTGCGCGACTGTGCCACACAGTAGTCACTTGGTTAGCAACCTAGCTACCTAGCTAGATACTATTGGGATATGCTTGTACATGATTTTAATCTCCCTTGGTGGAGTCGCTTCAATCTAAAATCCCTGGTTGCACCATTCATGTCTGCGCCCGCCTTCGCCGTGGGTCTGTGTTTAGTCCGGCTCTCAGCCTGATCTTCCAGTTGGTCCCATCGTTACCCAAAGAGAGAGGGGAACCTGCAATCTGCCAGGGTGTGTCCTATAGTGTAACTGTGTACTATGCCCTAATGCAACCAAGTCATTATCGCGGCCAGAGGCGAGAAGGAATCCCTGTCCGGACTAGCCTATAAATAGCAAAGATGGTCCAAGGTGATTGGGCTTGATCGTGATCACGATAACACAGACGATGAGAAAATGGAAACATCTAGAGAGTGCGACTTAGGTAGCCAAATAAAGATGACAGCACCACAGGCAGCAATACAAGGAGCGGAAGGGGATTGTGGGACGTTAAAGGCAGACAAGGCTGGTGAAAAGTGGTAAATGTGTGTGGTTTGCGGACCGAGATAGCAATCAATGCGCTTCACTATACTTCAAACGGCATAGTCCTTCATTTCCCACAAATTTCCGCCTCAGCCTCTGCGATGGATCTCAACAGCCACTCTAATCCTTTCTTCAAGGCTTCCTCCCCAGAAGTGAACGTGATTCGGAACCAACCGAGCTCTTCCGGCATGTATACGCTTCCAGGCGCCATTATAACCCCATTCTTCGCACGGATGTCAGTGATTCTCAACTCACGATGTTCTCATAAGCGAGTGTCAGGCAATGTAACACTTGGCTGGCTGTAGTCTGACTCTGGTGTGACAGACTTGCCTAGCAATAGATGGCGAAGGTCAACCCAGATAAACAAGCAAGAATTCCTATCCGTATATCAGCGCAATCAAGCCTGTTGGGGGTCTTTCAAAATACACACGACTCGCAATACCGAATGCCATGCTTGCGGGGAAAGGATGTATCCATGCGATAGTTTTCCTGTATAAGTTTGGTCTTGCTGTTCGTAACATTGTCCATCCACGCCTCGTCCTCGAGTATGGCGGCCCAAACATCCTGAAGAACGTGTGGCGACTATGACGATATGCTAAATATTCTATGTCAGAGGTATCTGCTTGTCACATAAGCACTATACACATACCTAATGCTCGACATTGCACCTATCGCTGCATGTCAAAGACGACGCAACCCTCTGAGGCCAGTGCTGCATCTGGTCCGGCGACTTAGTTTTTCATTGTATGAGCCTTCTGGGCAATACTTCTGTTTTGATTTTCTCGGGCGCGGGCCTGCGGGGACTGATTTGGCTAATGCATATGTATACATCTTTGGATTTTGTCAGTTATTGTGTGCGATAAATGATCGAAAGGGTAGAGTGCCTCACGTATTGTTGCTGTGTGTGAATCACGGACTTGGTTCAATTAGTACATATGTATCACAGATAAGAGTTGAAATGACTCACATGAATCGACCACCAGATTCGCTTTTGCGAGGATCTTATCGAGTGATACATAGCGCACGGGGATGTGCTGACACAATATTGATACAGCCGCCAAACGACAGGATCGACGCAACGTACAGCAAATGCATTCCCATCGACTGAGCCAGCATTGCTGCGCACCCTACCCAGTAACAAGTACGATGCCTTTTCTCAGACATAATGTGCCCTTCTCACGGTAGCACGGTCGGTAAATCAGGCTTGCTAGGCTAAGGCCTCGCTACCAGTCGCAAAGCCTAGGAGGAAAATATCATGCAGGATATTGGGGGGGGCGCATTTCTCTGGAGGTTCAATACAGGGTGTGCTGGGTGTATGACGTCGGAAAAGAAACCCGGATAATCTGGTCTGCTATCCCATAAGATGGCATAGCAAAGGCACCCCGTAAGTTTACTGGCTGTTCAGCACAATTTCTATTATCCTGGGGTGGCCGATCTGCGATTGAGGTGTCGGGCAGTGCATTCCTTGCAAGCCACACGAATTGGGCGAAGCGGCATGTTTGAATTACTCGGTCTCTCAGTCGACTGGACCATTGCTCTCGACATAAAAGTACATCCTAACAACAGTCCATGTTGCTCTCAACTCGGCGAGATGTTCCTTCCCCCTGCCGTGGGGCTGCGCGAAGTCGACCAAGAGGCCGAGGTGACCTCCGAATTGCCACGGTTTCCTGGCCGGGTCCACCCAAATATGGGCTGTTATTCTCAACAACTGAGAAATTGAGGATGTCTTGTCTTGATTATATTCCACTGCAGCCTGTGGGAGGATGTTCTCTTCCAACTGCGTCGTCGAAATCGATCTACTATTATAAGTTAAGACGACCGCGATAGTGAGATATCAGTTCCAAAAGAATTCGGACATGACATATATACACCTAGTTCTTGTGATGCTTTCTGACAATATCAGCCGCCATTACTTTCAAACTAAATCAGCATAGCATCAGGCCTAATACTAACCAAGCCCCCAAACATCGACACTAGGATTCTTTTATATTGATCTCCGCAAAGTGACAGGGCGCTACTCCTTGGCATACGCAATATTCCGACCATGCGCGCTGTCAACTGACAGAAACTGCTAGGACACCCCTGGCTTTTACCATCTATGTCTATACGCTTGGCAGCAGGGGATGGGCCCTGAACCAGCGCCTCTAATCTGTCCTGCTATGACTGCCCGGTCTCTTGTCCTCCGAGACATTACCTCCATTGACTACAAATGAGAACGCAGATCCATATGAACCTCTGCGGGACCCATCCTTAGTGTATGATCCCATTCCCACCATTCACCAACGAACTCGATATGACCCACAGCCGGGCGCCTACAACTATGGGATCAAAGAACCGTCGAAATCAAAATCCCCGTAGGGCACTCATATGAGATGCGAAGCCAAGAAGCCAAGAAAGACAGCACTTCTGTAGGCTCACAACTCAACCCACCCCGCATTGCATTCTGTATGGCCCGTTTGGATGGAGGACAAAGTCATACGGAGATGGTGCAGATGCGGGTGGTTGGTTTTGACTACAAAAGTGAAGGAGGCCCGCTGTCGGCATCTTCTCTTGGTTATTACCATCAAACAACAATCGCATGCTAGTGCTGTACGTATATTAGCCCCGGGGATATCTGAACTCATCAAGTACTGACAGCATTGACGAAGGACATTCTCCGAATAAAATCATGACTTCCGCTCAGCCCGACAGCTATGCCAAAGGACCAGCCCTTGAATCCAACGCGCCCATGAACCCAGGCTATCAGTTACCGATCGAGTTACACTGGGTGAACTGGTCGTGGCGCCGTTCGCTGCTATATATGGCTGGTGGGATCCTCATTGGGGCTCTCGTCGGGCTTATCGTCGGGCTGATAGTGCGGTTCGCGTGATAGCGTTGACAGTTGATATGGCACATACTGTGTATGATGTGCTTGGTGTTGATACCCCAGATGCGTAAAAATCGCGTTAACCTTCTTGTTTCATTGCTATCGTTTCTTTAGCGCCGCATTTCAACTTCTCTGTGTACCCGAATCGCTAACGATGCGACCGGTGACTTATACCCGAGGGTCACGACTCCGATCGGACCACGTGGGATCGGTGAGTTTATGACTTAAATCGAAGCGATTAGCATTTTTGAGATTTTTGCCATGATCTAACGTTGAATAGGTTTGAACTCCCCAATGATATAATAGCAGATCGAGGTGGAAAATAAATCCGGTCTTTCGGTTGCCTATTTGGGTAACACTTTCAACCCAGCGCCAATGTCACCCCCAGAACACGGCGATCAATTACAACATGTACAATAATCCGGCGATCCACAATAAAAACTATATTCAGGATAAATAGTTGGATTAGAGCAAGTATGATCAAGAAATTTGGCGACGGAGAGTCATCCACGGTGACGATCCATGACGTTTCGATATGGTAGTCACCTTAACCAAACGCCCGAACTCAATTGTGACGCCACTTCTGTACTTTATCAGAAGCCATCAGGAACGCAAGAATTGTCTGCGATAGACTTGCAATATAGCATAAGAAATACCACCTTTTTCATTCGTTGTACAGGTTACCCCAGGATCTACATATAATATATTATTATTCCCCACCTACCCAATGGCATGACACGACACCCATTAGCAATGGCACCCAACTCCTCTCCCTCCACAACCGACCTCCTCATCATTGGCGCCGGCCCAGCCGGCCTCATGGCGGCCTGCTCGGCCTCACAATACACGAATATGACAACACGAATCATCGACAAGCACCCCAGCCGAACAGCGACCGGGCACGCAGACGGGATACAGAGCCGAACACTCGAGATCCTCGAGAGTTTCGGGGTAGTTGATCCGATAATACGGAAAGGTGTGCAACATGCGGAGATGTGTTTCTGGGTAAATAAACTATTAATTCTTATATACTATATCGCATTCAGCTTTATCTCCAGTTCCGATCCTCGTGGGGAAAATGAGCACAGCAACTAATTCGGGCGCTGCGTAGGGCTATGATAAGCATACGGGTGGGATAACGAGGCACAAGATGGACTCGGCCCAGACGGATAAGTCGAGATACAATATGGTGTTGCTGAATCAGGGGATCATTGAGCAGATTATTCTGGATTATTTGGGGTTAGAGCAGGGGGGGAGGGTGGAGGTGGAGTATGGGAAACAAGCGGAGACGTTGGAGCTGCTAGAGGAAGGGGAGGATGAGTATCCGGTTGTTGTTGGGGTGAAGAGGGTTGGGCAGAATGGTATGGTTATCGTTGGTTTTGATGGTGGTTGCCTGCTGACTTGGATGGTGTTATAGGGGCCAATGGGCATTGCAGCGATGTTGAGACCATTCGCGCTCGGTATGTGATCGGTTGCGACGGTGCGAGGAGCTGGACGAGAGAGCAGCTGCAGGTACCGATGCGGGTGTGTTCTGGAGATACCACCTGGGGCGTTGTGGATATCGCCCCGATCACTGACTTCCGTAAGTTTAGTCAGTCGGTGGAAATGTATGCTTGACTGACAGGCTTTAGCGGACATTCGTCAGTCCTGTGCTATACATGCCGGGGATCGTGGCAGCATCATGACCGCACCCAGGGAGAATCGGCTGGTTCGCTTTTACATCTATCCCAAAGGCGATGGGAGGCTGAGTGTGGAGGGCAAAGACCGATCGGAAGTATCACTTGATGAGATTGTGGGAGCCATGGCGAAAGTCATGAAGCCCTACTCTCTGACCTATAAGCACTGCGACTGGTGGTCCATCTACAAGGTGAGTATCAAATGGATGCAGGCGGCCATAGCTGACTGGGGATAGATAGGTCAACGTTTAGTGGAAACGTATAGGCCACATGGCAGGTTGGTGAACTTTTTAGTCGACCCAAGCATACGCTAATATCACCAGGATCTTCTTGGCCGGCGATGCAGCACATACGCACTCGCCGAAGGGAGGTCAGGGTCTGAACGTGTCGATGCAGGATACATACAACCTAACATGGAAGCTATGCTCCGTTATCACAGGGGAAGCTTCCCCGAGCATACTCGATACATACGAATTGGAACGACGACCAGTTGGCGAGGAGCTGCTCAAGCTGGATACCGAGTTAGTTAAAGCGTACGAACAAGACACGAGCGTGACCGAAGGAGTCGAGCGCGTTCGTGGCCAGTACATCGACTTCATGACGGGAACGGGGGTGACATATGGCTCGAATGATTTAATCGCCGGAAAGAAGGCGGATACATCGGTCGCAAAGAATATCAAGATCGGTATGCGCCTGTCATCGTATCCAGTCGTGGGCCAGGCCGACGGGATCAGCATGCAGCTGGTTAGCAGGTTGGCCAGTAATGGAGCATGGAGGCTGCTCGTATTCCCAGGCGACCTGTGTGAACCTAGCAACCAGAGTCGGCTAGCCAGTTTTGCGAACCAATTCAACAAGCAGCCTCATCTCCCATGTCTGCACAAAGACCTGAAATCGAACCGGTGTTGTCCCCTTCTCGAGACGATTGTGGTGCATTCCAGCCCGAGGACTTCCGTGAATCTTTTGGATCTACCGGATATATTCCATCCATTCGATGAGACGTGGGGCTGGGATTACTCGAGGGTGTTTGCGGACGATGGCTCATACGGCGAAGCTTGTGGCCATGCCTATGAAAGGTATGGCATACGAGACGAGACTGGGTGTCTGGTCCTCTGCCGTCCGGATCAACATGTTGCTTGGTTAGGGGGCCTCGAAGAGGTGGAAGCATTGGACCAGTATTTTGGTCAATTCGTCGGGAGGAAGTGATTTGATCGGGTTCTGTCACTATTGAGTGCTATTTGGTCGATCGCGACCGGTGAAATGGGGGTGGCGGGGGGCCATGTCGGTGATGGCACTCCAAGCGTTGCACGGATACATTCTGTTAGTAGCATCCATGCCTGATACAAAGAAGACACTATAGAGAGACTATAGAAAAGACTTAGCACCAGACCATTTATGCGACACAATTTAACAATAATCAATGACAGAAATTATGTACTTTGCACATGCTATCCCCAACATAGCGCACGCATGGTTAGTGGCCAGAGCTCAACGGCAGCACATCGCACAGACCGGGGATCACCCGTGGGCACCGGCTCTCTCGTCCCGTATTCCGGCAGAAGAGCCCTGCCAGTCAGAAGTCCCAGAGACCCTCTGGATGGATGACAGGGAAGTTGTGGAACCAATGCTCAAATTGGCTTTCAGACCCAGGGGACGCATGATGCAGCTTGATTGGGAGGGGATATTGATGAGGTAATGGTGATGCTCAACGGTGATGTCATGAGAGTAACAGTCGTGGAGAAATGTTTTGATCGAGGCCCATAACAGTATCCTCTAAGAATCAAACAGACAACACCACCGCTGAGAGGGAATGAGGCTTTGTACGCCAGTCAGGTCCACCTTTTTTCCCAGAGTGAGGCTGCCCCACAGCTTATCTGTGCTATTTGGAGGCCCTGGCCAGACCGGATGGACTTCATCTCGACTTGTCCAGCAACGACAAGGGTTGTCTCCATCTCTTCCATTATAGGGCAATTGCACGGAAGAAGTTCACATCGACACACTATCTACTGTACACAGTATCTGATCGATCACTAACCCCGCCATCTATCCACTAGTCTCAAGCACAGTGCCACAGTACAACCACCGATCGAACCCAGACCGTCCACAATGAAACACCACCATCACAATGACCACATCCAACCTTCCAGACTTTTCTAGAGCAGCAACAGAGAGAAAAGCAAAATGTATTGATCTGCTCGTATCCCTCTATTACAGAAACAATAACGTTCCCACAATATGATGCTGAATGACTTCACAACCAATGCTTGTACCTTGTCCCTGCCCTACCCAAAGTAGGAACATACCATGAAGACCACATGCATCCAGGACCCTGGAGGAATGCCCGAAACTTGAATCGAGGCTAACTATACCATGTATACCACAATCACGATCATAGTTACTGCATTAACATTGACATCAGTACGTAGTCATTGGCAAACACCTATAGTTAGACACAAGCGTCATTATCCAAAGTCTGAAAAAACGTACAAATAGCCTACCACCATCCTGGAACTTACTCTCCCATCTTAATTAACAAACATCTATCTCAAAGCATACCACATACACACTGTACACGCACAACCAAACATGGCCTCCAACCCCAACCCCGGCAACTTCGCCAACCGCCCGCAGGAAGAAGTCGAGAACATCGCCCGCAAGGGTGGCCAGTCCAGCCACTCGGGCGGATTCGCCTCCATGGACGAGGACAAGCAGGTACATCAATACCCATTCCCTTCTTTTACTCCATAAACGAGAGCATAGTACTAATTATTATGGTGACAGCGCAACATCGCCTCCATGGGCGGCCAAGCCTCCAGTGGAAGCTTCCAGCCCGGCGAAGAACGGGCCCGGGAAGCCGGCCACAAGGGAGGAATGTCATCCGGAGGGAGTTTCGAGCCTGGAGATCCTCGGGCTAGAGAGGCTGGTCGGAAGGGAGGATCGAGAACTGGGGGCGATATGCCGGAGGAGTAAATCCACTCATACTAAGTACCATGACATTATGATCGGCCTTGTTGGGGAATAGTTTTTATGTGATATGAATTGGATGTATTATTAGTCAAGTATGAGGATAAATTGTATCGATTGTGGCATTGATGAATTGGATTATTATTGTATTGCTATTCATAATAGAGTTTCGGAGACTAGTACAAGCAGTACAAGTAGTCATAAAATGCAAAGTACGAAGGTCCATTGAGTAAGTGGTGGCCCCGTGGCTGATACTATTGGCCATTCCACCCGTTATTGACGATCATGACGACAATCAATATATTGAATTGATTCAGCCTTAACGAATTACTTGCAAGCATGAGGTGATCGATGTACAAAATAGTTGGATTGAAGTTTATTTTTGCGCCCCGTTAAACCCCGCTCGCCACATTAGCAACAGAAACATCGCTAGCACGCTAGCTTCCGCCATCATCATCAATCGTATCTATCATCTAGCTCGTAAACAGTACTTTTCCATCGCCGTGAATATGTATCTCTGAGAAAGTCCCGAGGAGAGAAAGGTAGAGAGGTAACAAGGAGGAAGCGGAAAGACAAAAGACATTAGAAAGGGTTAAGAGATAGGGACGTAGGAAGGGGGAAAGGAATCAAAAATATCCACAACGCCTCATCATATAGACATTAATCAAATCATCGCAGGCCATCATGTACAGGCCATCGACGATCTCAGAATTAGACCTTCACTCCGTATCTTTTTGCCCCTCTGTTGCTGAACCGTCCCCAGCAGCCGGGAGCTGTACCAAATCCTCAAGATCCATTGTCATCTCTTGCTCCTGCTCCTGTTTTGGACTCTTTGTCGGAGGTAAAGACACTTTCTTCTCCTCGGGACTCTGAGTTGTCGTACCAGCTTTATCAGAAAGCTGCTTCACCATCTTCGCCAAATGGTCTTTAATCCTCTCATCCCCGCAGTGGGAGTGCCGCAGCAGCTCATTCTTTAGGTTCAAGATTTCGCCCCGCAAGTGATCCACTTGACTTTCCAGGAGCGTGTTCTCCCGCGAGACCGTCTCGCAACGACTCTCGAGCTGCTTGGCATGCTCCTTCTTCTTCTTGCGGCATTTGTTGGCAGCCACGCGATTGCGCTCAAGGAACCGCTCCCGTTTGCGTCGTTCGCGCTCGTTCACTTCAAATCCCGGGGAAGGTGGTCGATTGGAGCTCCCCCGACGACTGTATACCGGGCTCTCATTACTGCTGCTGTAGCTGGAAATACTGAACCGGGATTGATTGTTGTCGGCGCTGCCACCGCTGCTGACGCTCGTTATGCTACCCCGCGAAGTGATTTCGTGCATAGGAGCTGGAGGCATTTGTGCCGGTACTAAAGGAAAGGTGGCCTGCATCGGAGAGCATTTCTGCTCGTAGTCATTGGTAGGATTGTGTACGGTCTGGCAGGGAGCAATGAAGCTGGCGTCCGAGCTAGCGGTGGAGTTGGTTCGGAGAGCGGGTCCAGTGGCCCAGGACACGGGCGGCTCGAAGGAATTGAGCAGCCATTGATTGTTATCTTCGAACAGAGGGAGAGAAAGACAGTCCTGGGGAATGGTGTTATCGAGATAGAAAGGAAGGGAGCCCGGCCAGGTCTCGTCGGTGGTGGGTGTTGGTCCGGAGAGGGGGCCGTAGAGGTTCAAGTCGGCGGACATTCTCACGTCGGCCATTGGAGTGTTTAGGGGAAGGGATTGGGGAGGTGATCAGTGGTGAATTGGAATATTGATGTACAATTAAGATAGTATGCAGATACAAAAATAAGCCACCAAAGTGTTGCGCAATGGATAGTGATCACGGCTGCTATTTATACGAAGTTGATAATGTGGGTGGTTTGCAAGGCACACACAGTGATGCGATTCACGAGCCCTGATTGGAGGGAGCCAGACCGTCCGTTAAATCACAGCACTGAGCAGGTTCGATAAGGTTGATCAACGGTAGTTTCTCGATCGACCACAAGGCGCCACACAAAGGGGAAATCACAGACGAACGCGCAAGTCGGATCGTAGGGAGAATATATCCGGCAGGGATCTAAACGCAGGCATTGGGGGCAAAAGATTTGATGGGGGGGGGGGGGGTGGACGAGGGACGGAAGATATCCGCTCCAAACCGGATTGCCTGGGGCCACGGAAATATACAGAGTAGTAATCTGGTCGAGCTCAAACTCCGGGGCAACATGGTTGACGTAGGATCAATTGGTCCGGAAGGAAAACGCGCCTGTCAGAGGCGACCCTGTGCCAATGGCAACCCGCTAGAACAATCCGGAATTATTTTCAGTGTGGTTTGGGTGGAGCCCGCACTTGCAGCATGACGTTTCGAGTTGATCCAATTGCTTGCACTTCATATCCCGACTGCTAACTTAATCCCGGGCCTTTCCAAGGGGCTCAAGCAGGTACTGGGCCTGCTCCCCCCATCCCTCACGGTCGGTTCTTGCAAATAGTTGGGATATTGATACCTTGGTGACATCTACGACCTCGACACTTACTAAATCCGTGCAGCCGGTGCTGCTGGGTCCTCCACCGGCCACGTTACACAGAACAATGCATTCTGAAGCCACCCAGCAATGTTTGACGACACGATTCATGTTTCTTTACCAACGTCGGAATTTCCCACTGCGTGCATTGGCTTCCTGTAGGCAAGAAGTATTCGGATTATCTAATTTTGTTGAAATGCTGGATCATTAGTTATCACTACTCTTCTGCTGCATGGGTGGATACTTTATTCCCCCGATCTAGCCGGCTCTGTCATAGGCCCGCCGTGCATTACACGGTCGATCACTAAAGGCAATAATATCCCTGATGCTTCAATCGTCCCTGTGGCTCTTCTAAATTCTACTTACTTTACGTTCAAAACTCGAGAGTCAGATGTGCTTCGCTCGGGCCGCGCCTGGCTTCCCTGGTACCCAGTGGTTTGGGTATGTGACTATCCATCCTTGAGGTAGAATCAAGCCTAGGATCCTCATGCTTCTCCGCGGTTGATACAAAGAACCGTGCGTTATTGCCATGATGCTTTTGCCTCGACCATATGTATCCTGGTGTAGTTACTCCAACCTCACAAGGTCCTTTTCGCCCTTGACCTCGCCACCCCCAAAAGTATCCGCATAGCGGCCAACCATCCAGTCGTTCACAGTAATCGGGCCGTATTTGGGTTTTTCGCCTGGCTCGAGGCAGCTTTCCAGGCACTCGACCAGGAAATCTGCGTTTCCATCAAAGATGAACGGAACGCTGTAGCGCGCAGTTCCCGATGTATTGATGACTCGGTGTAGGTTGGAGATATACCGATCGTTTGTCCAACGCATCATCATATTGCCCGTATTGACTACCACTGCGCCGGGCACAGGTACCACGTCCACCCACTCGTTCGACGTCCGGCTCCAAACCTGTAGACCCCCAACAGAGTCCTGCAGGAGGATGGTAATAGCACCAAAGTCGCTGTGAGCCCCGATGCCTGCAAGTAAAGTTAGCTCATCAGTGGTACCCCCAATATTGGTTGGAGCCGAATGCGGGAGGGTTGGCATGCACACCTCTTTCCAGCTCGGACGCATCAGGAGCCTGAGGGGGGTAGTGGAGCAAGCGAAGTGTAGCAATGGGCTTAGTACTGAACCTGCGTAGAGCATCTGAACCAAGGCCCACCATTTCTGCAATGACAGTCATAAGGTCGATTGTGAGACTGAGAACGGCTCCATAGTACCGATCCACCGTGTCTCGGAAGAGCTGCGGGTCTGTCACTTCAGCGGGATACTTGTTGGGTCCCAGGCCGAATTTGCCGGCTTGGACATCCGGATCATCTAGTGGGAGATGTCGACCGAGAAAAAAGCTCTCCTTTAGGTCTCCTGCGAATCGTTTCTCGAAGTTCTGGGCTCGCAAGCGTTCGTATCCGCGGTTGAAGCTGTCATTGTCTAGGAGCTTAAACAGTGGGCACCGGTGTGGATGTTGCTTGTGAACTTACCCCTATCGTATTTCTCCTTGGTCTCCACCGGTAGACGGAAGAATTCCCTGGACTGCTCTAGGATAGCTGTTTGGAGTTCGGGTGGAATGGTGTGGTTGCGTAGTTGGAAGAATCCAAGGTCTTTGCAAGCGTGGTGGATTTCTTCCTTCAGGTGCTGTCGGTCTTCACTGCTGCCCCCGTGGAAGGCTCCGGGAATGGTTAGGGCATGTTTTCAGACATGTCTGTTCTCTCTACCTACGAGCGAAATCAATAACAGGGATGGCAGGGCTCATGATTCTGAGCGAGTGGAGCAACGAAGCTCATATGGTTAGAGTTCCATTTGACGTACCAACGGAGTTGCCGACGAAGAAAGCAGGGCAACTGGAAGGATAAATTGGCTGCAAATAACATCTCATCGATGCGGGGTAGTCGCCGGTGATCCTCGATGTTGTGAAAGGCTTGGGTAGCCCTGCAGGAGGGCGCTTCCTTCTAGAATGATTTTAGTCGTGAAGCAGGCGCCACATGTAGAACTTATCGGCACGACTCTTCTGGTATACACCCAGAACACCTACAGTAAATAGAAGCCGCTGTACTGTGATCATGTAGAATATCAGACTGCAACCTCCATCTCCTGGGTCATCCTTTTCCAGGTACCATCCATGGGACGGCGGCGGATCAACGTAACCTTGATCAGCCCTATCCGGCCAGTCGAGCCACCTTCACGCCTGGTGCCATTCAGGACTGCCGGATTTGGTATACATGCGAGCAACCAGGAATCTTGTGGAAAGTGCAATGGGCATTTCTTATTATTGTGACGGCCCCTGGGAGCAGTGATTGATTGCCCATTACCAAAAAATATTTACGAATTACTAATTCCACAACTACTATTCCCATCCAATCCTGTCTTCAAATATCACCGAGCTCAATTTATCACATCAAGTTTCATGACTCAGTCCGCTGCAACCTGAATTCATTAGGCTTCCAAAAGCCCATGGTCCGTTTGTCCCAGATTCCCTATCTCGGGGGATGTTGAATGGTCGGAGTTTCAGCCCAACGTTTCACGAAATCGCTTTACATTAGGAAAGAAATGGCATTTCCTTAGTTCATTGACATCAAGACATTTATATGTACATTCTATATACAGACAGCAGCAATCATCATGGAATCTCCTCATACACTCTATCCCCGATCTTCGGGGGTTGGAGGAAATCATTAGGAACAGTCTCCGGAAGCTGGTTTCGCTCCGCCCATTCGCGGATCTCCTCAAAGTTGCGGCACTTGTGCTCAGTGTTGAAGTCGACAAAGGGCTCAGGGTGGTCGGGGTGGACCCAAACTTGACCCAGGACTCCCACGTCCACGGTGCACATCAGCTGCTGACGGATGATATCGAGACAATGAGCTATCCACGTTAGTACCGATTTAAGAAGAAATAAGTAGTAGTGAAAACGTACTGACGTGGCGACGGACAACGTAGTCATTGTTGGTGAAGGCGCCTTTGCCAAGGTCATGGTAGTAGTCGTAATTGTAATAAAGGGATTGGCGTAGGAGATTCTGTAACCCGTTAGTCGCACAACCTATATTGTCCTTTATCCTGTCTAACATACCAAGCAGTGCAGATGGTGGAATCCCTCCACATTGGCAGGATATCCACCTCCGTACTTCTCGTTGATCTTAACCTGGTCGGGAGCGAGTCCTGATTTCTCGGCTTCTTCGGCAGGGACGCGAATGGATCGGTCTGGACTACGATCAGCCAACTCCACTCACTCACCCCATAATGTGAAAGGAAACCAACAGTTGGCACCGAGAGACTCCCATGCTGCATCTACTTCTGGGCTGGCATCTTGTCGGAAGATGTTCTCTTTGAGGAGCGACCCGTTGAACTGTTGCTTGTGATAGTTGAGCCCAACATTGGATATCACGGGTGCTACGGTCGCGTTAGCTCAACGTTCTGGTTTCCTCAATGTTTGACGCTCAGTGACAGTCTTGGAACTAGGACGTACAGTGCTGAGTGATGCGCCGCGTGCACGCCTTGTCCGAATCCCCTTGGTTATGGCCGACGAAGATACCGACCAAACACGACACTATGGCAATGACAACGACGAGAATGATGTTCAACCACCTTCCAGGCCCCGATCGCACACTCTTTTTCCCCGACCAGTGAACATCTTCTTCATCGACAAGAAGTCTCTCGCGATCGGTCGAGTCGGACCGATCCGAGGTGTTCATTTTGTCGTCAAAAGAGTTGGTGTTGCGCGCAGAATTCATGGTATCAAGGAACGACTCTTTTTCGAAGGAAAAAGAATGAGCAACAACTTCACGAGCCTTCTTCTCCGTCAAAAAGAGCGCAGCACGAGTGTTTATTCTCGGTTGCCCATGGAAGAGGACCCATGGGCCCATCTATGCCCTCCGCCAGGTCCGATGCTAATAATATCCTCCCGAAGCCAAACCCGCCGTTGGGAGGACCAAGTGACGGGTGTAACACTCATCCGAGTGGTTGGTGAGACAACCAGGCTCGTGCAGGTGCGGAGAGGCTCATCCTGGCGGTGATGTTATTTGTTCCAAGTAAGACACCCTCCGCTTGGCCGCAGACGTTGTCTCATTCGGCCGCCCAATGAGGGTTTCCGGAGTGGATGGATCGCTGGAGATCCTCAATACGAGCTCACTGCCCGCCTTACAGCTCGACATCTTACTTTCGTCCAACTGAGACATGACGCAAAGATGCCTTACTCCCGAGATTAAACCCGGATTCACCGTCATTAAACCATCTGCACGCTATTATTAACACCCTATACTGGCCGCCTTGTGGCGGATCACGATGGGTCATCGCCGCGATCTAGGTCAACTTCCAAGCCCCTTCTTATCCCGGAGAGGGAAGTGGATGCACCAGCTCGCAATGAGGGGTGCCTACTTGTGAGGCATATGAGTGTAACACTGGCATCCGCAGCGCCACTTGGTCATCTCGGGGTGTCGCCGTGATTGGACTGAGGCCGGTCCGAGGCTACTCTCGAGATAGAACTTCGAGAGATGGCACAATCCGAGACTTGGCCAATCATGCTGGTACGCCATGGCAGGACGCTTACTCCACGACGAGAGATATTGGCATTCTGCTAAAATTGGATGCCGGGGTGTTAAGCAGGGAGACGAAGAAGTTATAAATATGGCCGCATGTATTCCCCAGTCTCATGCAAATCCCAAGATCTTCCAGAACATCACACTCCCCTCTCTTAAACTTTAATCATACTTCTTCATCTCGTTGTACATGATGCACTCCGTTTCTAAGGGTCTTCTCCTGGTGCTGAGCAGCCACCTGCTCGCTGCTACTGCCCGTCCTGTGGCCACGGAGACTTCCACTGCCACGGCCACCGAGACTCCTGCAAGCTACGGAGATTACGGCAACTATGGCAACTACGGAAACTACCAAGCCTACAAGAGGGACGACGAGCCTGAAGCGGATGAGACGACCAGCAGCGTGTCGTCGACTGCCTCTGCCACCTCCACCACTGCTGCGGGATATGGCAACTATGGCAACTATGGAGACTACGGCACCTATGGTAGCTACCAAAACTACAAGCGTGGTGAAGAGCCCGATCCCAGCTTGAGCACCACTACCGCTATCCCTACCACCACTGCCCCTGCCAGCTACGGCGACTATGGCAACTACGGAAATTACGGAAATTATGGCAGCTATGAAGCCTACAAGCGTGGCGAGGAGCCTGACCCCAGCTCCACCACCACCACTGCGGTTCCTACTACTACCGCCCCCGCTAGTTACGGAGACTATGGCAACTATGGCAACTACGGCAACTATGGCAGTTACGAGGCCTACAAGCGTGGTGAGGAGCCCGATCCTAGCTCGACCACTACCACCGCGGTCCCTACGACCACTGCACCGGCCAGCTATGGCGACTATGGCGACTACGGCAACTATGGAAACTACGGTAGCTACGAGGCGTACAAGCGTGACGAGGAGCCCGAGGTGAGCAGCACTGCTTCTGCGACGAGCTCGACCGAGTCTGCGACCACGACTGCGGCGAACTATGGCAACTATGGAAACTACGGCAACTACGGCAAGTATGCCAGCTACGGCTCGTACAAGAGGGATGCTGAGCCCCAGCCCGAGCAGGACAGTGAGTCCTCGACCACCACCGCTGCTAGCACGACCACTGCTGCTGCGGGATATGGGAACTATGGCAACTACGGCAACTATGGAAAGTACGCTTCTTACGGCAGTTACTAAAAAGGGAGTTAAGTGCGTGATGATACGGAGGACAAGTGTTACCTGAGCAAAAGTTGAGGGTGACGCTGCTGGGATTGGGAGATCAATCATGATGATGATGTCTAAGAATGTGTTATTCTGTTGTATTTATTAGCAATGGATCAGTTAACTAGATAAATATAATGTAGCGTTGCTTGTTCTTGAATAACTTATATAATCATGATCTTGTACTTTATGCCTTCAGACATATGCAGATTGCAGACACATTATTGGTTGGGGCAAGTACCGCGGACATGGCAAATCAAACTGGCCCTCATTGGATCTCTAATTTGTTGACGATTCCAAGACCCGCTTCCCCATATTAACAACCTTTTTTTTCTTCTGGCGAGCATCGCAGATCCTCCGATTCAGATCCGGTGTGGGTTTGAGATGTTGCCCTCAACCATCATGGCACCCTGACTCGGGAGACAAGTTTTCTTTCTGCTTCTGACACTGTAAATCTCTATTCAGTGGACCAACCCACACGAGCAAAAACTCTGCACGGGAGGGAACAGAGGGGCCACCATGAAGCTTGAACTCCAGATCGCTGCAGCTGAATCACCGACCGGTTCCCAACCAGGCAAGTGATGTTCATGGAACCCCCCTTGCCTCTCGGTGCGATCGACAAGTAACCTTTGCCGACAGGCTCGCCTTTCCTCCGAGGGTGAATTGTTTATGCGCAATAATCAGGATGTAACATAGCTAATTTATGAGCTAGACTACTACTCTGTACCAGTCATAAGAGTCCAGGTATCCCGACATCGGTGCCAAGCCTCATCCTTCAACCCTTAGCCGAGGGAAGGGAGAGACAGAAGACAAGACAGAAAAGAGTGAGAGAGAGACAGCCGACCAAATGAAAAATCCAGCATGACTCGATCGTCACAACCCAACCCAGCGTAGACTGCGATAGCGCAGTGGCCAGCTCCAAATCGGACATGGATGGTTGGTTCATCCAACCCAGCTGGTCTCCACTATCTCCTCGGATTGGCGCATTTTTTGGCAATCATAGGAGTCATCTTCGTTCCTGGTTCAGCTTGGCCGATCTAGCTTTCCCCGCCCTTCAGCTCTCGTTTAAAAGTCCGCTGCAGCCACGCGCGCTGTCGTCGCCGTCATGTTTGGATTTTCTCAGACTCTGCTTTTCTTTCGTCCTTCTCGGTTGTGTGTGTGTTCTGCGATCGTTCTTGCGATCGCGCGATAGAAAATGACCGTTGACGGTATGTCCAACCGCGACCGGAGTTATTCTTTGCGCTGACTTGATCGGCGCTCGACTCTCCCAAATTTGACTGACTGGGATTACAGAGAAACAGCCAGTGGCTGACAATGGCGAGTCCTCGCCAGCACCGTCGCAATACGCCTCCGTCAACGAGCGCAAGTTGATGGCCAAGATTGATTGGCATGTGGTGCCGTGTCTTTGCGTCATGTATCTGCTTGCATTTTTGGATCGGTATGCATAACACCCAGAGAAATGGGCGCTCGATTCCAAGAGGCGTGAAACTCATCAATTGCACAGCGTCAATGTCAGTAACGCGGCCATTTTGGGTCTCAAATCCGACTTGAATATCGAGACCGGAACCAAATATAACACTGCCCTTACCATTTTCTTCGTCCCCTACATCATCTTCGAAATTCCGTCCAACGTGTTGATGAAGAAGTTGAAGCCGCACACATGGTGTACGTATTGCGCTGCCATGTTCAGGGCCACACTGACGTGCATCTAGTATCGCTGTGTATGTTTGGCTTCGGCCTGGTCATGGTCTGCCAGGGTTTGGTGCAGAATTGGGGAGGATTGATGACAACGCGCTGGTTCCTGGGCATGTTCGAGACCGGCCTGTTTCCTGGATGTATGTCGAGTTCTCCACGATTTAATGGTCGCATACTGACTTGATAGGCTTCTACCTGCTGGGAATGTGGTATAAGCGCAGCGAAGCCCAGAAGCGCTTCAGTTTCTTCTTCAGCTCGACGACTCTCGCCGGTGCCTTTGGTGGCTTGCTTGCCTACGGCTTGGGACAGATGGACGGCCTCCGAGGATACAGTGGATGGAGATGGGTGTTCATCATCGAGGGTGTTCTGACCTGTGTGGTGGCCATTGGCTGTTTCTTCGTGGTTCCCGACTTCCCCGAAGACGCCAAATGGCTGACGGAGGAGGAGCGGGCATTCCTGCGCGACAAGCTGGCGAAGGATGTAGGAAAATCGGCTGCCGATGCTAGCATGACCTGGCGTGATATTGCTGCTGTCTTCAAGGACTGTAGGTATTCGTGGCTGCGATGGCGATAACAGTGCTGACGGTTTTGTGTAGACAAGATCTTCATCGGTGGCTTGATGTACTTTGGACAGGTGGTTACAGCTTATGGTTACGCCTACTTTGCGCCGACCATTATCCAGACCTACGGCTACAGTTGTATGTTGCCCTCAGAAAATCTGATAACAGTGCAGTCGCTAATTTACTTCCAGCGGTCAAAACCCAGCTCTACTCCATCCCGCCCTGGGCCGCCTCGTTCGGTTTCTCCATGCTCATCGCATACCTCTCTGATAAATTCCGCCATCGCTTCCTGTTCACCATCATCCCAATGCTGGTAGCCATGGCCGGATTCGGTATCCTGCTCAACATCCACGACACCTCACAATACCATGTTCAATACGGCGCGCTGTTCCTGGTGACCAGCGGCTGCTACAGCGCGATGCCAGTATTAGTCTGCTGGTTCGCGATGAACCTCGGTGGCCATCGTCGGCGCAGTATAGGAACGGCGTGGCAGATTGGTTTCGGCAACAGTAAGCACAGCCCTCATGCTCAACCCCGACCGACCAGTAACTAACCCTCTAAAAACAGTTGGCGGAATCATCTCCACCTACTCCTTCCTCTCCAAAGACGCCCCCTTCTACCGTCCCGGATACAGCATCGGCGTATCCTTCCTAGCCTTTTCCGCCGCCATGTCAATCCTCTACTTCCTCGCGGTGTGGCACGACAACAAGAAACGCGACCGCGCGATCGCCGAGGGTCGCATCGATCCGTCGACCATCACGGAGGAAGAGGAAGAATTGCTGGGTGATATGTCGCCGACGTACCGTTACGCTTATTGATGTGTTTGCTTATTTACCTGCTTACCTGCTTACGAGGGAATGAGTGACTGAGACAAATATTACTACTATTTAATTTTGGGTTAGATTAGTTTACGAGCATAGGGTAGGTCTCCGATGTCGGAGACGGATAATATACGCGTCGGCGGATCCCGACGACTTTGCAATGGAACTAATCAGGGTAGTGTGCTTGGCATTTCTGGCGGAGTCATCTCCATAATTCTAGATTTGAAGATGGATTTCCAAGCAAGATTAGATAGTCATTCTGATGTAATAGCAGGGATGGGATTCTCAGTAATTGGAGTCGTGGGTGGCTTGGTAGGTTATCTTGCCCTTCGTGTTGGTCGTGGGCTCTGTCCTTAGTTGAGGGTAGCGTTCCTTTATGACAGTAATGTATCAATATAGCCAGATCTTAGGCTAATACCCCACGCCGAGAAGTCACTGGATCCAGTGCAGTATGGGTCATCTATTCTACTATAGCTTCATCTAAACTGGTATGCACTATGTAGAACATACAATTCCAACACCACGAGAACCTCCCACCCCAGTTAGCTTCACTCGACCCAGCATCATCTAGTGGCATGATTAACCCTCGTCAGATAAATTATGGCTAAGACCTAAGACCTTGTCGTCTCTTATATTCAAGCTTTCTGTCCACCGGGGCTGAAGACATGCAGGGCTATGAGATATATATTTTGAGGTAAGTTGTTGGAGTCAAGTCACGGTATGTTTGAACGGCTTTTCCAAAGGGGGTACTAGTATGGCTTGTGTGATCACGAAATCAGAGCAGTAACCGAATGGAATATAGATTTATGATAATGGGTCCTGCATTTAAATTCCAGTCGAGAAGAAGATATGCCATGGTTGTCGGTTGTTGCATATTCTGAAGTGCTGCATGCCTGAACTGAGTTGTAATTATATTGAAATCTGAGTCTACAAGTGGCCTATATCCTCTTTATCGACCTCTTGGATAGCACAATTCATAGAAGGGTATATTATATAACTACGAAGTATCATATCGCAACGATATCTCATGCGGTAATAAAGAAAATGCATTCAAAGCTTTCCCTCCAAATATGGCTACCACTGTCAGAAAAGGCAGTGATAGTCCCATTCATTTCCTTCCACATCCTCGGATAATCCGCTGTCACTTGTTCATATGGTTAGCGTCCTACTTCGCTTGCGATATCTGCCGAAATGAAATGACGCGATATTGCAGGAACAGGAATGGTGCAGGGGCCTGTCCGTGGTTCCATTCTGTCATGAGATCGGGACCAGCGATCTTGATAAGATAACAGCTGTATGCAAGTGGGATCAGGCAGGTAGGTTGGATGTCATACTCCTGGAAACACTGCCTGTGACAGGTCATATCTGATAGACCGTCCTTATCAACATCAAAATTCTTTGAAGTAGATGCTGGGTATTTGCTTCCCACATAACCTTCGGAAAAGAAGTGTTGATCTCGCTTGTGTACCTGTTGATGCAGTCATCGCCAGCCGCGCTCGCGTCATCGCGAAGATCAATGGCACAATAAATCCCCCACCACGTACCCGATCCGGGGGTAAAAGCCGAATCAACAACTCTCTCTTGCCGAAGAACTAATATCTAGTTGCAGCTTAAGCGATATTGACGATGAGTGCAAAGTGTCCACCGATGGTGTTATCATCGTGCCGGTTAGGAATTGTTCAATCTTGTCCTCGACACCACCACAGATGGTGTGATAGAAATCGGCGCATAAAAGGGGAGGTCCAGGGATGAAAATGGAGGAGGATTCTGGAAGCAGGACGAGAGAATTGCGAAGCATAGCAGTAGCAGCATGATCGCTCTAACCAAATATAGCCTGTTCCTGGCAGCTCTGTCCCCCCTTACCATAGCGGACGGGCAATATCGCTCGCGTCCAGACCTCTCCCCTCCCAAGCTGAACATCACAATCCCGGCCCCTGATGCTAACGGCACCGAGTATGTCTTTCTCGCCCCTTACTCGGACGATATCCAGCAGAGCGGCGCATACATCTACCGCAAGAATGGCGACTTGATCTGGTCTGGCATCGGGTACTATGCAGGGTTTGTCGGTAACTTCCATGTCACGACGTACCAGGGTGAGCCTGTCCTGCAGGGATTCCAGGGGACAATGGATACGTCGCATGGTGAAGGGTTCGGGCAGCAGGTTATCTTGAACCAGAACTATGAGCATGTCGTGACCGCGAAGGCGGGAAATCATCGTATTCCTTCTATCCACGAGTTCAATGTCATCGACGGGAAGACCGCGCTGGTGGAGGTCTACCTCCCTACCGTGGCTAATCTGTCGGCTTATGGCGGGAACTCGTCGCAGCAGTGGATTGGTGATGGTCTGTTCCAGGGTGAGTATCCATCCTTGGTCAATGCCATTGTTCGCGCTAATGCAATGCAGAATTCGACATCGAGACCGGTGAACTGATCTTCGAGTGGAACGCTCTCGACCACGTCGACCCCGCAGGTTCGTCTCGTCTATCAGCTCTCTTTTGAGCTTTACTGACACATCCTAGACAGCCTGGTCACCCTCGGCTCATCAACCAGCGACAGCGGTCTCTCCTCCAGCACGACGTGGGATTTCATCCACCTGAACAGCGTGGACAAAGACAAAGACGGCAACTACCTCCTGTCCTCGCGACACTTCAGCACCATCTTCAAGATCAACGGCACCGACGGGTCCATCATCTGGGAGCTCGGAGGCAAGCACTCTACCTTCAACTACAACTTCACCTTTGGGTACCAGCACCACGCGCGCTGGCACTACCAGTCCCCAACGAAAGAAATAATCTCCTTCTTCGACAACTCCGGCAACGGCGAAGTCATCGTCAACAACGTATCGCGCGCGTTGATTGTCGAACTGGACCACAGCAGCGATACCGCGACCATCCTTCGCAAAGCGACAGCCCCGTATGGGATCCAGGCGGCTTCACAAGGAAACGCGCAGCTGCTGTCTAATGACAACATCTTCGTGAACTGGGGCCAGGCGGGCGCAGTCACTGAGTACGATGCCAATAATAAGATCATCTATCACGCTTTCATTGAGGAAGCGGAGAGTTATCGTGGATTCTTGGCCAACTGGACGGGCACACCGGCGGAGGTCCCGGCTATTGCTGCATATGTGGATGCGTCGCAGACTGTCCGGTTGTATGTATCTTGGAATGGCGATACAGAGACAAAGGCGTGGCGGTTCTATCAGTCTGAGGAGGGTAACGCGACGTCTCTTGGATCGGTGTCGCGGAAGTCTTTCGAGACGACTCTGTTGTGGAAGAGTGAGCGGGCGTCGAGTGATACGAGGTATTATGCCGAGGCTGTGGGAGAGGGCAATAAGGTGCTGGCGAAGACGGATGCTGTTTCTGCCAGGGAGTATATTCCGGTTGCATGAGTGGATCGCAAAGTTATGTATATATGCTTATGAGATGAATGGTATGTATGGTCATTATGGCTGTTGTTAATCCTCTTTTAGTATTGAGCTTTGGCTGAGATGGGGTTTGCCTCCCGTACGAGTGTTTCGAATGATCGGACATCCTTGATCGGATACTTCGATTCATGCCAAGCAGTGACGATCATCTTATCACTCATCTACACCATCTGATAAAGACAGCTTTTGTCTGACAGTTAGCGCCCATCATACAAGATGCGATTTCACTCTCAATGGCTCGTCTTGAGCAGGTTGGTTCTCACCAGCAATGATACCGAGCCCGCCGAGACCCCAGGATCAATATGCACTTCAAACTCATCGCCCCCAAATGGGGCCAGATCACCCGCACCACGAGGCATGCCTCAATCCACATTCCACAAAGCATATAACCTTACTCTGACCGACCTTATTGAATTCCGCATACTCCGGACCGGAGATCTTTGCGCGTCGTGGATTGCCATGTTGTCAATCTGCATTCCACACAGGAGCAAGTTCCTCTTCCCGCTCTGGCATCTGTATCCACTCTCACCACCAAACAGGTTCCGGATGTCACCATCTTGATTCATCACTACATATCGAACACTTTTTATCGACATCAAGCACATTTCCCTAGCACTTCTCAAGTTCACGGAACAAACCCCGGACATGAACGGTGCATAACGGACGACGTTCCGAGAACAACGCCATTCCGCATAGAAAAGGACCCTACAGTGGGGACTTTGTCAGTCGAACGAATTCGTGTGGGAGTATCCGGTGTTTCGAGTCAAAATTGAATGCATGCTGTCCTTTTCTTCCTTCTCATCCTCTGCCAATTCCAGACGTTGTTCTCCCGCGTTTCTATATTTATTTCAACACTGGGGATGAAGGGTCTGGTTCAAGTTGAGTGCTGACATGTCTGTGGCAGTGCTCGATCCAAGCAATGCGACCGTGTGTGTGTGCCGTGTCGGCAAAGGACAATGAGTGGATGGCTGGACGGACGATCCGTGAACTGGCCAGAGTCTGGAACAGGTCGGTCAGGCCGGGTGGCTGGATGTGAAGTCAATCAATTCATCATACAATTCAATCATTGAGACGACATCAATTTTAACAGTAGAGTTTGACCCTGCACATCTCATCACAATGGCAAAGAACACCCTTAGCAGCAGCAACAGCAACAACAAACCCTTCATTCAGATTCAAGACAGCGGAACAAGACTCAAAAAAGCATTGCCATCCACGTACCCCCATCTCCGAAGCAGACAAGATCAGCAATGCCAAGGCAGGGTCTGGTATCAAATAAGGCTGAGCAGGGACAGCGATAGGTCACAACGGCAAACAGACCACTCCACTGGAAACGCCGATCGGTTTGAAACAAATGGGCAGGGACCCTTTCCGAGTTTTAAGTTAGGAATGACTGAAAGTCTTAGCCTAGCTTGAGTGGTAAAGTAGTTAATTCTTTAAATTCTTTGTTGCTTGCACCATCGTCCCTTGTATGTCGTGATACCTACATTATCTTTTTTTATCTATACACACACTATCATATCATATCAATATGCGAATACTACTATTATCTCTATTACTATCGCTCTTCACCACCATCACCCACTCCCTCCCCCACTACGGCGTCACTCTCCCCCCACCTCCCACCGACCCAGCCAAACCACCCACATCCCCCTACTACCCATGGAAATCCCGACTAGCCAGCAGCGCCGACCACGTCGACAAAACCACCCTGTATAGCATTGCGCGCGCAGCGCACAACCAAGGGCAGACACACTTCGCTGACTACCTCAAACACTACCTGGGGAACACGGGGCGGGATGCGCACGTCTCTGTGGACGAGATGTTATCAGCGATGCCGCAATTCCGCGCCGAAGTGCACGAGTTGGCGAAATTCAAAGCCAAGCTTGCCTACGAGGCAGTCATGATGACCCGACCGGACGAGGCGCCTGTCGTGCCGTTTACGAGTTTCTGGCACGAGTATGTGGCCACGCCGGATCAGAGCTGGGATTGGTTCTTGTCTGTGGGGAGGTTCGTGTATAGTGTGACCGGGGTGGTGAAGATGGATGAGGAGACCGGGGGAGTGACGGTGCATTATGCGGTGCATGTGTTTACTTATTGTGATTGGGATGGGGGGAGAGATGTGCGTATTGGCCAGTTCCGGTTCGATGAGGGCAGACTGGCTGGACTGCAGGTGACGGGGTTGGCGAGGGAGTTTAAGATTCGCGGGTCGAGTCAGAGTAGGTTGATCGAGGGGTATACTCCTGTGCAGGGATTCTAGGATGTGTCACTGTGTGTGTATACGCTGGTTGTATAGACGGATATATATATGTGTATGATACTATGAATGAAAAGAAATCTTTGTCAAAAGGGGGCGCATCAATCAATCCAGCTGATCTCGCGACACTCGCCCAGACTCTCCGCCATCGCATCAATGCGTTCGGTCATCCATCCGGCCGATAGTCCCGGTCGCGCATGTCCCAGCGCCAGCACCGTGGACGTGCGACACGCTCCCTCCGTCTCGTTATATGCGTACTGCAGGCACTTGGCCTCGCGTGTGCACACGCCCCGACAGGCCGCGAAGCTGCCCACGGCCACCGGGTCTCCGTCGACCAGGTTATCCCACTCGGTGCGAACATCACGCAGCTCCGGTCGGACCAGCTTGAGGAACACATCGCGATACAGCAGCGGTGTCTTCAGCGGCCCCAGCTCCCTCTCCAGGTCATCCAACTGACGGATACCCTGCTCGTCCAGATGATGAAACGACACGGCCGGATAACACCACGGCCGCTTCGCATATCCGATGGAGAAGTAATCCATTTCCTCCGGCGGAGCGATCTGCAACATCGGCCACGACCATGTCAGATCCACCCCAACATTTTCCAGCAGAATCCCCAGCATGCAATCCCCAGCCCAATGTTCCGCCACGGCACGTTCCCACCCATCGCTAGTCCGCTTGCGCTGATTAACAGCCTGCACGAGCGCCGGGCGCGACAGCGCAAACCCGGAACCACCGTGGGCGAAAATGGCATCCACGATCTGCATCTGATTGCCGAGGTACCAGGGTTTGGAAGGATCGAAGCGCCGTAGCCACTGGAGGAAGTTATCCCAGACGAGGTATGTATCGGCCTCGAGGAAGATATACCAGTTCGCATCTGGTTTGACGCGCAGGGCCTCGTCCAGCATGGGGAGAAACTTCCATTTGTCGAGCTTCCAGCCGGGGTTATTGGGTTTGCCGATCGGGGTGTTGACGTCTGGGTTCAGGTCGGCGGCAGTGAGAGCGGCAGGGCCTTCGGCGCGCACACGACGGTAGAGGTCGAGTTCGGGGTTATGGTTGAGAAGGGCCGGGGAGAGAGAGGCGAGGACATCGTGGGTGAAGTGGGTGGGGGAGAGTTGTTCGACGTAGTCGGAGAAGAGGACGTGGTTGGGAATGCAGCGGAGGGTGGTGGAAAGGTGGATGGGGACTTTGGTGCGTGATTCGGTGACGCCGGTTTTGAGGACGACTAGAATGTTGTCGAGATCGGGGCGTGAGGGACAGTCATTGGGGATGATCTGGAGAGGAGGGGAGGATGCGCCGTGGGAGGTGAGGGTGTAGAGGAGGCCGAGGGCGAGGAGGGCGGCGACCAGAATGAGGCGGCGGCGTGGCATGAGGAGGGTTAGCGAGTGCGAGTGGAAGGGAGGGCCATCGCAGAAGCGAGGGTTGTGTGATTATAAGAAGAGTTGAGAGACGGATGGAGAGGTGAAGTTGGCTGCAAAGCTGCAAACGGAGGGATGAATTGAGCATTAAGAATGAATCAATCAAATCGAGTTGGGGATGGAGTCAGGCTTGGCACGGGGTACGGCGGATCACAGCTGCCATTTCCCATTTTTTGGACCCCATCGCGTTAGTTTTGGGGCTATGTAAACTGGAATGTAGATCTTCATTTCATCCATTTGTGTAGATTCCTATGTTGGAAGAGTTGGTTGCTAACAAAACACTATTGGGGTTTGGTTGTGGTTAATTCCACTTCACAGCATGCCTCCTGATTGGTCGGTATTTGCGTCTGGCTATAAATTCCGAGGAACTCGTGCTATAGAACTGATGTCATTAACATACCCATTCACATATGCAGCATCATCTAGATGATCGCTAGTACTATATCTACCATATGAGTATCACAACTGGCTCCTCGTCAGCCCCTTAACAGCCTCCACTGCCCCCCTCTTCCCACTGCGCACAGCTCCCTCCATATACCCCTTCCACTCCTCTGCTGTCTCCGTCCCCACAAAATGCACATCCCGGAACGGCTCTCGGAGGGCATCACCAGCCAGCGTCAATACGCCTGGAGGCAGTGCCGGACAGGGACAACCCCAGCCAGAGAGTTCCTCAGTCGACCACTCATGACCGAGAGCCTCGACGAATTCCCTCTTGGGCAGATCCTTGTCACCATAAATCGCCCCCAACTGCTCCAGCAACGCTAGTTCACGCTCTCTCTGACTCCCCAACGCAGACCAATTCCTCCCAGCATCGCCGGCCAAAAACGCCGTGAGCACCCACTTACCATCCTCAGGCACGCTAGTATCGCGGTAAATCGACGCAGGGCCAACAAACGACTGCGCCAGTCCACAGAACCCGCGATCCGCCCACCACGCCGTCCGGAACGACAACATCACCTTGGTGTAGTAACCATATCTGAACGAATCGACCAGCAGCTGCTTGGCAGCAGGTAGTTGCGGCTCGAACTTGATCGTCTTAAGGACAGGTGTCGGCACTGAACAAATGACCTTCCGAGCCTTGACCACCAATCCACTCTCCGTCTGCACATAGTTCACCCCTTTCTGCACCTGTGTAATCCCAACCACTCTCTGCCCGAACCGAATTGTATCCGTGGGCAATGACTCAGCCAATGTCTTCGCAAAGATCTGCGTCCCCTGTCGCACACGCAGATACTGCGCGCCGTGTTTTCGATCCGATCGCATCTGGAGTAGTCCGCCACCCGATTTGCAGTAATTGAGGAAGTAGAGGGCGGAGATGTCCTGAGGTTCCTGACCCAGCATGGCGCGAGTCCAGACGGAGGCGTTAGCGACAGCGATCGGGCTGGCGTTGCGGGAATGCAGATAGGCGAGGAAGGAGAGGGAGTCGAGTTCGGCATTCTGGGGTCGACTGGTGGAGAGAGATTGGCAGTCAAGTTCGGCAGTGTCGCGGATAAGTTCAATTTCTTTTTGGATTTGAGGGGTTATCTGGACGCAGTTAGCAGGGCGAGTTATAACGCGGTGGGAAGGAGGTAGCATACACATGGAGTCTGCCCGTAAGGGAATGCAGTGAGGGTGCCGTCCTCTCGCTGCAAAAGACAGTTACCCGTCGTATTCTGCTCGATCAATTCCGCACCTGCCCGTTTTGCCAGCTCATACATCATGCTCTGGTTGGTATCGTTGATCCAGGCAGCGCCGAGATCGACCACGCCAGTTCCACTGGGCAAGGGACAAGACCAGGTCTTGCCGCCTACGCGGTCGCGGCCTTCGAGCACGATGCACGAGTGACCGGACTGGAGGATGGTTTCGGCAGCCATGAGGCCAGACAGGCCGGCACCAATGATAAGCACATCGGTCGTTTCTGTGGGAGAGGGTAGAGAAAGCGAAGTTGGGACAGAGTCCGGCACCGCAACGGTGGCCTCGATCTCGAATTTCCAGCCCGGGACAGCTAGCTGGGGTACTGGAACAAGAGTAATGGCCGGTTTGTGGCCGGCGAGCCATGTCTGCAGAGGTCGGGTGTGTAGACGGTTATTAGGGTCATAGTCGACGATGTAGAGGGTGAGTTTGACTACATCGCGAGGGGTAGCGCCGGTGGCGGCTAGCACACGGTGTAGATTCGCGAGGGCAAGATGGATCTGCGAATTGTAATCGGCAGGGGCAGTGCCTTCAATGGTGCCTGGTTGGCCCGAGACATGGAGATATTTGGAGGCGGATGACACCACGCCAGGGGCGTAGTAGGCGGAAGTGGCTAGTACGGGTGTTGGAGCCATTGTCAGTAAATTGGAGCTGATAACCGGTGTTTCTATGTGGTAAAGAGGTGGGATAGATATAGGGCAAAGACAAAGTCCGAAGAATGAAGCTGGTTATCTTATCGTGCGGGGAAGTCTTGACTTGCCTGTTTGGAGTGGGCCGGGGTGACTTGCCTGCATTATTTTTACTCCACCGCCAGTTGAGGGTGAAGCTCTATCTTATCGTAGATCGACATACTACAAGATGGATATTCAATCCGAGGAATTGCCTTCTCGGTTGTTTGGTCCATTGAGTAGACAATTCGGGAAATTATATATACCAGTCGTAGATCTAGTCCGTATTGCCAATCACCACCTTGCAGTGTACATACATAAAAATGGCCAACCGTCCCAAAGATCACGACTCCAAAGTCCTCACCATCGCCGATCTGGCCATTGAGGCCCAGAAACGGCTTCCCCCGGTCGTGCGCGGTGAGCGATCCTCACGATCTATCAAACCCAGCCAATACTAAGACATGCATATAGACTACTTCAACGAAGGCGCCGGCGACCTCATCACGTACTACTTCCCACAACTCACCGCAGCCCCCTATATATACTAACGGATCACAGTCTAAAAGACAACGAAGCAGCCTACAACCGATACAAACTACTCCCTCGCGTCCTTCGCGACGTAGATGCCCTCGACACCAGCACCACCATCTTCGGCAGGAAAGTGAAATTCCCCCTCGGCTTTGCCCCGGCTGCCGCGCACAAACTCGCCCACGCAGATGGCGAGGTGGGCACATCCCGTGCAGCCGCAGCGCATGATATCCCCATGTGCTTGTCCTCGTGGGCAACAACAGGCATTGATGATGTGATTGCCCAGGGGACGGGGAATCCGTATGCCATGCAGGTATCGTTTTTCAGGGATGTAGAGATTACGAAGAGGATTATTCAGAAGGCCGAAAGTGGGTATCCAATTGAGCAGTTAAACGTTCGCGGTTGCTGATGAAAGTAAAGAAGCCGGATACAAAGCACTATTCGTGAGCGTGGATCTCCCTGTACTAGGGAACAGATTGAACGAGTCTCGGAATAACTTCAACTTCCCGAGAGATATGCGGTTTCCAGTACTGGCAGAGGGAATTGAGGAGTTGGGGTTGAAGGACACGTATGAGCGTGGCTATGGTATGCAATTTATTTCCTTCTGCTTGTCGGCTATTAACAAAATAATCTAGATGGCTCTATTCGCTGGGACAAGACGATCGCCTGGCTACGACAAAACACGAAGCTCGAGATCTGGCTCAAGGGGGGTACGTCCATCCTCACTCCTGCGGTTACTATGTATAGACTAACGTGAACAGTCTACTCCCCCGAAGACATACAACTTGCCATCGACCACAAAGTCGACGGCGTCATCATCTCCAATCACGGCGGTCGCCAACTCGACGGTGTTCCCGCCACCCTGGACGCACTGCGCATCTGCGCGCCCGTAGCAAAAGGGAAGATCCCTCTAGCAGTGGACGGGGGTATCCGACGGGGAGCAGACGTGTTCAAGGCGATTGCACTGGGAGCGTCGATGTGTTTTGTGGGGAGGATTCCGATCTGGGGATTAGCGGTAAGCTTCACACAAATTACCATATTTGTCCAGGGAATTGACAGTCGGTATAGTATAACGGCGAGAAAGGCGTCGATCTGGCGGTCAAGATCCTCTACGACGAGTTCTGTCGCACAATGAAGCTGGCTGGGTAAGTGACCACGTCAACGTGCATATTGCAGATACTGATGGATGTGGGTATATGCAGGTGTCGAACTATAGCAGATATCACGCCGGAGCACTTGGCGGTACTTGAGACAAATGGGCTATTGGCGAAGCTATAATCAATATGATAGAACAAGTCTGAACATGCATACCACTTACATATAGAACGAACAACCTCATAAAGAATACAATAAACATAACATGGATCTAATACATAGTAACCATCGACCTACTCCCACAATTTCCTCCAAAACCCCCTCTTCTCCACTTCGTCCCCATCATCAACCCCTAATGCCTCCACCTCCTCCAACCCACTCACCAAATCCACCTGCTCAGCAGGAATCCACCACCCATCCTTCCACCTCATCACCCGATGCCCAGCATAAACTCCCACGAAGACAAACAACCCCACATACGAAGTCAAAAACGACGACACACTCCAGTGTCCATGAAAAAAGACCTCGAAGCCATTACACAGCAACAGTATCGGACAAGCCATTGTGGCAATAATCCCCATCCACGGCTGCAATCTCGACCGATACGGAAGATCCTTCAAACCCTGGGCGTTACACGCCGCCCTGAACCTCAGGAATATAATCCCGCAGCACGTCCACGACGTAAACCCCGCCGTGTTGGTGATATTCACGAACCAATTGAACGCCGTGCTGGCGCCGGAACTACAGTCCATGTATGCCAGCAGGGAGAACAGCGAACTGCACAGCACAGCATAGTATGGCACGCCGTGGCGGGTACAGCGGGTGAAGATCTTGGGGGCACTGCCTGCCCTCGCGAGGGAATAGAGTGTCCGACTGGACATGTAGAGGTACGAGTTCGCAGAGGACCACGCGGAAGTGATGATGACGGCGTTGACGACGGAGTCGAGGCCGTGGATACCGGCGCGTTTAATAGCGATGACCCACGGGGAGGCGGCGACGCTGGTACCCTTCGTCAAGCCGGAGGCATTACTAGGGCAGATGACGCCGATAGCGAGGACACCGAGGATGTAGAAGATGATGAGGCGGTAGAAGTACTGTTTCGCAGCGCGGGGGAGGTTCTTGCGAGGGTTTTGCATCTCGCCAGCGGCGACGACGAGGAGTTCCGGGGCGAAGTTAAAGGAGAAGACAGAGTAGCAGAGGGTGTAGAGAAAGGCGCAGAAGCGGCCGGTGGAGCCGGAGACGAGGTAGGTATTGAAGGCGCCAGGGGTCTTCCAGTAGTGGAAGCCTAGACGGGTGTGGTCGGGACCGCCACCGAGGAAGAGGACGAAGGAGAGGATGAGGAGACCGATGATAAGGAAGACTTTGAGAGATGCGAACCAGAATTCGGTTTCGCCGTAGACTTTGACGGGGAAGAAGTTGAGCGCGAGGACGACGATGAGCATGAGGGTAATCCAAACGGCGAGGGGAACGGGGTTGGACCAGTAGTCGATGACGAGGGCAGCGGCGGTGGTTTCGTAGGCGACGAGGATGCCGAAGCTGTACCAGTAGAGGAGGCCCATGGCGAAGCCTAAGCTGGGAGAGACGAAGCGGGTGCCGTAGGCAGCCATTGAGCAGCCGCTGAAGGGGAGGTAGGTGTTTATTTCGTTGGTGGCAGTGATGATGGCGTAGACGATAATACAGATGGTGATGTAGGCGAGGAGAATGTTAGCTGGACCGGCCAGGGCAAGCACTTCTCCTACTCCCACGAAGAGACCTGTGCCTATGGTGCCGCCGATGGCCATCATCTGGGCATGGCGGGACTTGATGCCACGCTGGGTGATGGGGGCAGCATCATGGGGGAGAATCTGTCCTTCAGCATATGAGGCAGTGCGGTCGAGGACCTCGAGTGATTTTTCGTCGGGAGACTTGGTCATGATTGCTACAGTAGTCTGAGATATGGATTGAATGGATTAAGACTAGGGAAATTGCAGCTAAGTACAGAGGGTATACAGGGCATTTATCAGTTCGCAGGACACTGCATGTACAGAATCTGGGGTTACGTGGGAACTGAGCTTTGCCTCCGCAGATCCCGATACCAGATAAAGAGTGAGAGATACGAGGCCATTAGTATCACTGTGGCTTGAGCACCGACATTGGATAAGCGAATGTCAGCTGCATCATTGCGGAGAAGCAGCGGGTTGTATCTATCAGGCCTTGCTGGTTCGCCTCTAGTTCAGTTTCGAGCCAGATCCACCGTCGGGGCTAGCCCGAGGTTATCAGTTGGCCAGCAAGGCAAGTCTCCCCTGCTGCGTGTCTCTTGACCTGCCTATTGCATTCACCCTTGCATACCCTAACTCTCCACGCCAAACCAGTCGGGCAATTGTAGACTAAATCACAAGACGCTGTGGGATAAAAAGTCAAATGTGCAGGTAGAAATATAAGTCTTGACATACTCATATATTCTACACTGTAACGCCAACGTGGGCTCGATTCCTATCCTTTCGCACGTTGAATAGTCCAACACAGCACCATGTCCTCAACCACAACCACCATCGTAGCGAAGAAGGAAGACCCTTCACAGGCCACAGAGTCAAACACCACCGGCAAATCAGCTATCCAGGCCATCTCACAAGGAGCCACCCTACCAGGCATCCCTTCCTTTACCTCCGCGGACAAAAAGCGAAGATGGATGCTCGAGCACATGGCTGGTGCCTTCAGAGTATTCGCTCGCAAGGGTTTCTCCGAAGGAATGAGCGGGCACATCTCCTTGCGTGATCCAGAACATCCAGACTGCTTCTGGACGAATCCGTATAACCTCTTACCAACAAGACCAGGTACATTAGCTAACGATCCCAGACTCGGACTCCATTTCGGTTTAGTCAAGGTTTCCGATCTTATCCTACTAAACCACGCTGGCGAACCAGTCGGAGGCAACCGATCGCGGCCAGCCAATGCCGCGGGCTTCCAGATCCACGGCGTCCTGCACAAGATGTATCCGCATGTGAACGCGGCATGCCATGCCCACTCAAAGTATGGTAAAGCGTGGTCGACTTTCGCCAAGCCTTTGGATATGATCAACCAAGACGTTACTATGTTTTATGGCAATGCACAGGCTGTCTATCCTGAGTTCGGGGGCGTCGTGCTAGAGAAGGAGGAGAGTCTACGTCTGGGTAGACACTTGGGTGACAAGGGGAAGTTGCTGATACTGCGCAACCATGGCCTTCTTACGGTCGGACAGACTGTTGATGAAGCGGCCTATCTGTTCACTCTGGCTGAGAGGAGCTGCGAGATTCAACTGCAGGTGGATGCGGCTGCTGCTCAGGGTTTGGAGAAGAAGCTTATTGAGCCGGAAGCGGCTGAGTTTACATTCAAGATGACTAGTGATCCGGTGAGTTACACCAAGTCCTTGGGGTTGAAACATATGGCTAATAGAAGCAGGAGGCGTTGTATCATGAGTTCCAGCCGGATTATGAGATGGAGCGAGCACTATGCAACGATCAGTTTCTACAGTGAGTATGGTTGCAATGTGGTTAAAATTTGTTGTACGATGCATCGAGTATGATGATAATGAGAAGATGAAGTTTCATGAATGTGTCGTTATATGTAGAACAAACTCAAGTTGCTTTCCCGCATAATCTGCGGCCAACTGGCGCTCGCGTTACTGTTCAGGTGCTGTCGTTGTCTCTCCCAAACCTGCCTTGCTATCCTTAACGCCAGCTTAAAAGTCCCAAGCCCACTTTTTCTGGCTGATGTCTCGAACCAGCCCGCAAACCAGTCTTGCAGTATAGGATCCAAAGCCTCACAGGCGGCAATAAACGCCACCCAAATAAAAGGAGCAGCTACACGAGTCGCCGGCATATCGTCTCTTGCTACCTGAGCTAGGGCGTCTCGCACTTGCCACGCTTTGTCTTGGAGTATCATCGGATCCACATCGTAGATTCGCCGATAAAAGAAGATAATGAGGGCTTTATGAATTGCAGAGATCATCAGGCGAACAATCGTGGCATTTGTCTGGGCGATGATACTGTCTGGATCCGCATCTGACACTGACGGTGGTCGCCAAGTGGAAATGCATCGTTCTAGGCTCCGCGCCCGCGCGGAGAACTGCTTAAAGTCCAACGCCCCCGTATAGCTTCCCAAGTCTGAGAGGTCTCGCTCATTTCCTAGTCGTGTTACTTGTGATATTAGAAATAGTAGAGACTCTGGAAGGCCAAAGACATGTGGGTACATGGTCGAGTCCCACTGGCCCGGGATTTCCAAGTGCAAATCATTTTCTCCCTGGTGCTGCTCCTTCAACTCGCTCATCCGCTGGTCCAATCGACCTTCCCATTGCCGAAGGCGGAACGAGCGAGTGGAAGCAATGGAGCGCACTGTATCGGGGGATGCATAGTCGGACTCTATCTCTACGTTGGACACAGGGAGAACGGAGGTGCTCTCCTGGAAGATACGTAGATAGACATAGCAATGGTGCAACAAGCGGACCTTGCGTGATTTCCGTGTTTTAGGCAAGCCACGAAAACGAACCCAGTTTTCGCAGTCTAACAGACATCGGCGTACCCGCTCTGTGCTCCCTTGGTAGGCCTATGTGTATGGTGAGACATGTACTTCTCTCAGCTGCGGCTGGCGTTGCTTACCGAAACCGTGCCCATGCACAGCAAGGCGACGAGTACATCTTTGTACTTGACTTTTTTGACGCTGGATGACGCATCGTGTAATGCTCGCTTGAGGTAATTTTGAGCTTCGATAGCAAAGGTCTCTGCTTGTCTCTGCCAATATTCGCTTGCGCTGCGCGTCGAGGATGATAGACGCTGGGTGAAGGCCGCAGTGGCGAGAATTGCGTAGAAAATGGACATCCGGGTGTTGTTGGCCAGTTCACCCATGGTCAACAACGCCAGAGTCTCCATAGCGGGAGGCATGTAAAGCATACTCCAGGGGCTCTTTTCTAGCTGGATTGGGGTGAACAGCTGAGTTACATTCTTTGTGTATGCAGACAGCAATAATGGGGCATCTGGAGGGGCCAGGTTGGTCACAGATGGAGCATATCGGATCTCCGGCGACGACAATAGCGATGCTTGCAGAGGAACTGATGGTGATGGTCCCATAAGGAAGCCTCCTGAGAGGGATTGCGGGGAAATCCCATCATTTTCCGCAGAAGGTAGGGTTGCGGCGAAGAAATCTTGAGCATCCAAGTCGGCAGAAACGTCTACATTCACATGGCCAAACAGACACTCCATGAGGGGATCATTGCTAAAGGCATCGTCCAAGGACATTTCCAGCCCAACATTGACAGGACTGTCTTCCACCCCGGGGAGGGGCTCGTCAACTGGGTCCATGGGGGCTTCGGGAAGGTCCATCTCGACCTGAACTACCCGAAAGGCACCAAAGGGACCCATGCGGGTAGTGAAATTGGTACTGGTCTCCTCCTCCTGGCTCTCGCATTGACCATCAATCTTGGTCAGAATGGTGTGGACATCATCCAAGTCCAAGCTGTCGGTCAACTGCTCACTCATACGCTGACGCATGTCCTCAGTGAAGAGGGGACGGCGACATCGTGAGCTCTGGTTGTCGCTCGCATCGAACAACAGCCGAATCTCGTACCTCTCACAGACGAGCCCCGCACGCTCACACACGAGGCAGGATGGCCTAGTCTCATCACACTTTGCATGGCGCCGACGACAGGTCTCGCATCCTCCCAAGGAACGGGAGCGCACTGGGGTGTCAGTTGGCTTGCCAGAGCGAGCAGGGGCCTCGGTGGTGGTGGTGGTGGTGGTGACGGCGGCCCCTGATGTCATGGAGATCGATAAGCAGTCGATATGAGAAGCAATAGATAGGGTATGTAGTGAATAAGTGAGGGGGGAAGATGTCGAGCGAGGAGAGTTGCCTGGAGGATAACGGGAAGGTGAGGCCGGAATGGCCTGCCTTTTTGGTGTTGCGGGCAAGCGGGGTTGATGGAGTTGAAGCTAAGATTATCGCAATTATCGCGAGGATCAGCCACTTGCTGATAGTCTCGATAAGGCGTGATAGCATCATCTGTCCAACCGGGCAGGTTATTTTCATGGTCATGATTTACCTCTCACCATTTATAACAACCCCCATTAAGATCCCGATAACAACAGGTTGGCCCTCATCCCTCGTCCACATCTCCGCCCCTACTCACTCACCATGCAAGACAAAGCCAACATCCTGCTAATCGGCTGTGGTGGCATCGGCACTATTGCTGCACTGAACTTGGAACTTGGAGGCAAAGCCATTGTCACTGCTGTCCTGCGTTCCAATTATGAGCATGTCAAAGCTCACGGCTTCTCCATAAAGTCCATCGACCACGGAGAGGTGAAAGGCTTCCGACCGTCAATTTGTATGCAACCACTCAACTCCACACCAGCAGATGTCTGCTGACAGTTGCCTTGACAGTACGGAACACCATCCCAGACGTTGAGAAAGAGAACCTTCCCCCATACCGGTACATCGTCGTCACCACCAAGAACTACGCCGATGTGCCCCCGACCGTAGCAGAGATCATCCGCCCCGCCGTCACCAGGGGTTACACGCGCATCGCGCTCGTCCAGAATGGCCTGAACATAGAAAAGCCCCTTATTGCCGCGTTCCCAGAAAACATAATCCTCTCGGGCGTCAGCTTCTGTGGTTCCCATCAGGTCTCCTTGGGAGAGATCGTCCACGAAGACGATGACGAGCTTTACGTGGGAGCCTTCCGCAACCCCAATTTAAACCCCGACGAAGAGGATGCGGCCGCTAAAGAATATTGTGAAATTTATGGGGCCGGTGGCAAGTGTAATCCTCAGTTTAACCCCAACGTCGGGTTCAGTCGCTGGCGAAAGCTGCTGTACAATGCCTGCTTGAACCCCATCTGTGCCGTCACAGATCTAGACACCGGTCGCATCCAGCTGGCAGACGGCGCCATTGAGAATTTGGTCCGACCAGCCATGGAGGAGATCCGCGCAGGTGCCAAGGCATGTGGACATGACCTACCACCTGAGCTGGTGGACTTCATGATCACGATGGATCCCATTACCATGTACAATCCCCCCAGCATGCAGGTGGATATCCGCAATGGCCGATTCTGTGAGTATGAGAACATCGTGGGAGAGGCACTGAAGGAAGGAAAAGCCAAGGGGGTCCCCATGCCGACATTAACGGTGTTGTATGGCCTTCTCAAGGCCATCCAGTGGCGGACCAAGGAAAGGAAGGGGCTGGTGCAGATCCCGGAGCCGGAGGACCATACAGTCAAGAAGTGATAAATTAATGAATTATAATGACTATAATGATCCCTTTAGCATAGCTGGATTCTGGCTGGAATGGATAGACAGGGGTTTTCAATGCCACTGCATATTGCGACAGTAAGAATATGAGGATAACTGTGTCCCTATTTGCCAACGGGCACTGTGGCTGCAGTCTGATGTCGCTAGAGTATTTCTCTTGTAATGACACCCAGTGGAAACTCCAATCAGGAGGGTGAAGACAGTGCAGAATCTGGTGGGAGCGACCGAGCGGGAGAGCCCGCAGATTACGTTAAAAACCAAAGCAAATGAAGGATTCGGGGGCCAAAGGATCCATTCTTCGTCAGACATCAATTTGCCGGACGATGGAGTTGAGTATACGAAGCATAATGGCCAATAGATGGACAAAATGGCCTGCAGAAATGTGGAAATACATTGTTGCGGTATCCCTCGGCATCAAGCCAAGCGGGGTGAGGCTCGTCAATTGCTATAAAATCATCCATCAGGTATCGGTAATAGCCTGACTTGATCTTATGTCAAGCTGCTGTCTCGTGTTTCGAAGTATCAAGGGAAAAACCACCAGAAGCAGTGATTCAGCGACAATGGCTCCTAATATACCAGTTCCTCGCAAACGGCTTCTGACCACCGAAATAGATGCCATCGCCAAGAGTAATCCTGAGAGGCGATTCTGTGTAATGCCCAGGGGCTCGGAGCTCTCAGATGGCTTGCAAGTAATTTCAGTTAAGGATCTCTCTCGCGGCATCAACTTTTTGTGCTGGTGGATAGAAGCGCAAGCTGGTACAGATGCACCTGTTGGATCAACGGTAGCATACATGGGTGCCAATGATATTCGCTACTTTATCTTCATCGTGGCATGTCATAAGACTGGCTACAAGGTGGGATACTTCCGACTTCGTGGACGTTCCGCTTGTATACTGACCTCTCTCAATCAGCCATTGCTACTTTCGAGTAAGAACTCTGATGAAGCTCAGCTGTACTTGCTACATGAGACTAAGTGTAACCGGTTCTTTTACACTGCGGAGAGGGAGCGGAATGTAGCAGAGCTTAAGCAACTCCGTCCCGAACTAAATATCGTCAAATTACCCGCATTAGATGCCATCTTGGAGGGACAAGAAGGTTCACGCTTCTACCCCTTCACTCAATCTTACGAGGAGGCTGAGGATGAGGTCTTCCTCATTGTGCACAGTTCTGGATCAACAGGTATGGTCTCCCTTCTCAAAATGGCGAATCTAGCTCAAGTAAACTCACTTCTCAGGAATGCCCAAGCCTATTCCCCTGACCCATGGCTATTTCAGTGCCTTGGATGCCATTGTCCATCTCCCTCGTCCGGGCGACCGGAGACTTACTATCTTCTGTGATCTCAGCCCGGATAACCTTGTTCTCAGCGTAGTTCCGTTCTTTCATATGATGGGGGTCGTCGCTTTCACCACGTCCATCTTCCACTCGGTACCTTTCCTTTATGGGCCAGAGAAGCCACTTTCGGTTGACTTCTTGACGGACCTTATCAAATTCGGTCGACCAACTACGGCGCTTCTTCCCCCGTCAATCCTTGACGATGTTTCCTTGTCCGAAGAAGCCCTGCTCACGTTGGGCACAATGGAGAGTGTTTACTTTGGTGGAGCACCACTCTCATCAGAAACAGGTGACAAGGTCCGCAAATACACGAAACTGATCACAGCACTGGGATCCACCGAAACCAATCTCATCCCTTCCATAGTTCCCGAAAAGGACGAAGATTATGGTTACCTCGAGTGGAATCCTAATTACGGCGCTGTTATGGAACCTGTCGGAGATGACATCTATGAGCTGGTCATTCCTCGCCCTCCCACACGCGATTATCACGGCATCTGTCATACGTTTCCCTCGTGCACGGAGTACCATACTAAGGATCTCTTCACACAACATCCATCTAATCCACGACTGTGGAAGCATCACGGTCGTCTAGACGACGTCATCGTTCTAAGTAACGGGTTCAAGTTCAATCCTGTCATACTGGAGACCATGATCGAGGCGCATCCTCTTATTTCCCGGGCATTGGTGGTCGGAAAGGGACAATTCCACACTGCTCTGCTGGTCGAGCCATACTGGGATGCATTTGACTCATACATTGACCCCAATTCTTTCATTGATGATATCTGGCCTGCGATCGAGGAGGCAAACAAAACTATAGCCGCCCACGGACGTATCATGAAAGACAAGATCACTCTGTCTAAGAGGGCTAGGCCATTCCAAACCACACCAAAGGGTTCGACGCGAAGGGCTGCTGTAGTCAAAGACTACGCCAATGAGATTGATGCCATTTATACCATGAGTGACGAGGGAACCCTTGCAGTGGACGAGCTTCCAGCAAACCCAGACCTGTCTAATCTTAGTGAATACATTCATGACTTGGTTACTAAGACCCTCCAACGATCTGGCTTTGGTCCCCAGGAAGACCTCTACAAACTTGGCCTCGACTCTTTGCAAACCATCCAGGTCGCTAAGTATCTACGCAGCGCTTTATTTGCCCACTGCGGTGGCCCAAGTGCGGTAGAGTTGACGACCCAAATGGTTTACGCAAATCCGACCGTGGAGAAGTTGGCCCAGCTGCTTCTGCGGGTGCTGAATGGTGACAATGCGACAGATGTCTCCCGCCCAGAGAAGCTCAACAGTCTCATTGAAAGATACACATCCAACCTACCAATCCAGGACTTCGCCCCAGAGCAGACTGCAAAGACCCACACAAATTATACAGTGATACTGACAGGGTCCACCGGCTCGTTGGGGACTTATCTCTTGCACACCCTTCTAGAAGACCCGAGTGTCGCCAAAGTCTACTGCTTTAACCGCAGCGACGCCCAGTCCAAACAAGAAACTATACTCCAACAAAAGGGTCTTTACATCACTCCATCTGCCCTCAGAAAGGTGGAATACCTCACCGTTTCCTTTAGTGACCCACGATTCGGACTCTCCTCTCCTCAATACAACTCCCTCCTCGCCAATGTGACAACAATAATCCACAACGCCTGGAAAGTCGACTTCAACCACAGCGTCGACTCATTCGAAGACCCGCACATTCGCAGCGTACGGCACTTCATTGACTTTAGTCTCCGGAGTACTCATCTTGCGCACGTCCATTTTATCTCATCAGTGGGCACCGTAGGCGCCTGGTCTTGGGACATGGGATCAACCATCCCTGAAAGCCCACTTGAAGACAGCAAGGCATGTCCGAGTCAAGGATACGGGGAGTCCAAGTACATCTCCGAACGAATATGTCATGAGGCAAGCCGCAGGTCGGGCGTCCCGACTACCGTATATCGCGTGGGACAGATAGCAGGTCCGACCACAATAGAAGGTCTATGGAATTCCCAAGACTGGCTGCCTACTATTATCAATACATCAAAGGCAATAGGACTAATTCCGGACACTCTGGGCTCGAGAGCTATTGATTGGATAGCCGTGGTAATACACCCTTCCATCGTCCGTCTAGTGGATAGCTATGTTTGGCTACTAATGCACTATCCTGGAATGTAGGACACCCTCGCCCGCATAATCACCGAAGTCATTCACACTCGTGCCGTTACAGTATCTTCTGCTT